CCGATAAGTGGTCGGATCGGAGGACACAAGAGTTTCTTTGGGGTTGGGACGCAGAGACGGCGGCGTTGGATACTTGGAATGGTATGTTCCCTTATATTTATGGTGGCAATGTGCTAACTTGCGGGCAGAGGATCAAGGGCAGATCAAAGCCAATGCGAATCTGTAGGTGCTGTCGATACGATGCATCTCCCGTTCATAGTATATCGGTTTTTGTTACCATCTAGCGAATAGACTCAAGAGTATATATCTTTAGAAATGTAAATACTTCACTCGATTGGAGCCACGGGGTTACGTAGACATAATAAAGATGGGATCATTTAATTCATCCAAGACATTGCATTTTTAATACCAATTCCCATATTGTTCATATTTTCTCCAGTTCATTATACAGTCATACAAGCCCAACACCATCCATCATGCATCGGTGGAACATTGGACAGGGAGACTTGACATGTTGGCCCGAGGAAGCCAGGGACGGTCAACATTTGGCATTCCCATCATTCAAAATTGAAGATATGTCATACTCCTGTAGACACAATCTACAGTCTCTCGCCAGCGGCGGCCTTCATCTGACCGTACTTCTTGAGACGAATGGCAGACACGTTGATGAAGCCAGTGGTCTCGGCGGGGGAGAAGTCACCAATCTCATCCATGGAGGACTCGCTCATGTCGTAGAGCTTCTCTGTCTCGGAGGAGCGACCGAGGATGGAAACAGTGCCCTTGTAGGCGCGGCAGCGGACCTGGCCGTTGACGGACTTCTGGGAAGCGGTGATGGAGGCCTCGAGGAACTCGCGCTCGGGGGAGAAGTACATGCCGTTGTACAGGAGCTGGATATGTTAGATCACAGAATTGGATACCAGAAATATCAAGCTTACCTTGGAGTAGTTGTAGGTGACGAAAGAATCGCGCAGGGCACGAACTTCGCGATCCATGACAAGACCCTCAAGGTCACTGGATAAAGATTAGTTATGCCATCAACGTTTTTAGTTCACAATACAATACTCACAGGTGAGCGGAGCGCAGGCAGGTGAGACCGGGGGTCTCGTAGCAGCCGCGGGACTTGATACCGATGAAACGGTTCTCGACGATATCAATACGGCCAACACCGTTGCGGCGGGCAATGGCGTTAGCGGTGAGGAAAAGCTCGACGGAGTCGGTAACAGTCTTCTGCTTGCCAGCCTCGGTGTACTCGAGCTTGACGGGGACACCCTTCTCGAAGTAGAGAGTGAAGTCCTCGGGCTGATCGGGGGCGGTCAGGGGGTCCTGGGTCAGCTTCCACATATCGGCGGGAGGAGTGGTATCGGGGTCCTCCAGGATGCCGGCCTCGTAAGAGCAGTGGGCAAGGTTCTCGTCCATAGACCAGGGCTTAGACTTAGTGGAGGTGACGGGGATACCCTTCTCCTCGGCGTAGTCGAGCAGGTCCTGACGGCCCTTGAAGCGCTCGTAGAAGACGGGGTCGCGCCACGGGGCAATGACCTTGATGTCAGGCTGGAGGGCGTAGAAGGCAAGCTCAAAGCGGACCTGGTCGTTACCCTTACCGGTGCAGCCGTGGGAGACAGCGAAGCAGCCCTCGCGCTAAATTTGGGTCAGTATGACATCTTTCTGCCGGGGAGAAGAAAAGCGTACCTTGGCGACATCGATCTGGGCACGGGCGATAACGGGGCGAGCCAGAGAGGTACCGAGCAGGTAGACGTTCTCGTAGACGGCGTTGCAAGCAATGGCGGGGAAGCAAAGCTCCTCGATGAACTCGCGGCGGATGTCAACAATCTCGCACTTGAGAGCACCGATCTTCAGGGCCTTCTCGCGGGCAGCCTCGAAGTCCTCTGCGAATAGTTATTAGAGCGGCGTTGAATGATATGTCGATGGAATTGAATTACCTTCCTGACCGACATCGGCCACTATGTTCATATTAGTACTGGGTCTTAATTGACATGGTATTGAATCTCAACTTACTGAAACAGACGACCTCATAGCCCTCTTCGATAAGGTACTTCACTGCAATTCGGTATTAGTATCCACGATTGGTGAATGAATTAACGGGTGGTATTCATACAGATGCAGCTGGTATCGAGACCGCCGGAGTAGGCGAGGCAAACCTGTGGGATCGAACTGTCAGAAAGTGTGGAGAGAGCGGGTGGCGGTGTGGGATAGAATTGGAATTGAAGTTGGGAACTGAGAAAGGAGTTGTAGCGCGAAAGCAATAGTTCATACCTTTCCCTGTGCCATTGTGTGGAATTGAATGTAAAATTCAAAAAGACTTGTAGACGTGGAGTATAAAACAAAAGGAAGATTGAGTCATTGGGAAAAAAAGGCAATTTTGGTGGGCCGGGGAAGCAAGTCACGGGTCCGAAATGATAGCCCTGATAAGATAGCTCTTTGCCCCTCCAATCTTTGTCCGAATCAACTCCGACTTACTCCTGGAACAGACATATGAGCTCAATGGGCTTCAAAGTGGTATATAAGCTTGTGAGACCTGCTACAAATATCACAGCCTCAAAACTTACTATATTTTCCATGAAGGGAACGAGAAACACGCGGATTCACTTTTTACATACGAAGATAACGCTACAGAAAAGAGAGTCCGATCTCGGGATCCATTGGAAGGGAGCAAGCATATATACACAATCAGCATGCACATACAACATAAGGTCCAATCCAGAAGGCTTTATGATTCCGTGTTGTGAACTATTCCATTCTTACACACAATATGTCCATTCTTTACCGTGTTGGCCCATTCATCACACTTCGTCATAGGTCCCGTCCGATTCGTTTGGCGAGTTTGTCCCGTTTGCATTATCTCGGCTATCCACGGCGGTTTCCCCGCGCAATGCCCCGGACAATGAACAAGGAGCAAATTTAAAGGCAATCATCCCTACAGAGAAGAAAACTTATGTATTTACATTCTGTTCATTCTGTCCATATCTCGCAATTCTAGCCAGAGATGGTTTCCTTACGAACTCCTTTGCGGTCTCTTGCCCAGGCTCCTCGCCGGTTCTACTCTGGAGCTCCCACTCCGGCAGCAAAGCTGAACCTACCTATTGACTACAAAACGACTCCAATTTTACACCACACCTCATCATCCTTGTCAAATACATCAGATTACCCGGCAGGTGCCACGAGTAAACGACTCAACCTCTACCAAGCAATTAACTCAGCACTACGGACAGCATTATCCAAATCTGATCGAACGATCGTGTTTGGCGAGGATGTTGGATTTGGTGGTGTTTTCCGATGCTCGATGGACCTCCAAACAGAATTTGGGTCGGATCGAGTGTTCAACACCCCCTTGACAGAACAAGGCATTGCGGGGTTTGCAATTGGGGCGGCAGCGGAAGGGATGAAGCCTATAGCTGAGATCCAATTCGCCGACTACGTATTTCCAGCATTCGATCAGATTGTCAATGAGGCAGCCAAGTTTCGGTATCGAGAGGGTGCGACAGGCATTAATGTTGGGGGTCTCGTCATTCGCATGCCGTGTGGCGCGGTTGGACACGGTGCTCTGTACGTTATGTGGTATCCGAATGCCAAGCAAATCGGTATGCTAATTGACTGCATAGGTACCACTCCCAATCCCCAGAGTCGCTTTTTGCACATATCCCCGGTTTGCGAGTAGTCATGCCACGGTCTCCTGCTCAAGCAAAAGGGCTTCTTCTATCTTCTATCTTCGAGCACAATGATCCGGTGATTTTTATGGAGCCTAAGATCCTCTACCGTGCAGCCGTGGAATATGTCCCGAATGAATACTACACCATCCCCCTCAGTAAGGCTGAGGTGATCAAACCTGGCAAGGATTTGACTATCATTTCATATGGACAACCTCTTTACATGTGCTCTTCGGCTATCTCCGCCATTGAGAAGGCCATGCCAGGTGTCAGTGTGGAACTTATTGACCTGCGAACCATATATCCCTGGGATAGACAAACTGTGATCAACAGTGTCAAGAAAACAGGTCGAGCCGTTGTTGTGCATGAGAGTATGATCAACTATGGTGTGGGTGCAGAGGTTGCCTCCACGATACAGGATAGTGCATTCTTACGTCTTGAAGCCCCCGTCAAGCGAGTTGCCGGGTGGAGCACACATACTGGGCTGAGCTACGAGCAATTTATTCTGCCCGATGTTGCAAGTGAGTATCCAGTGTCCTATATTTCGTTCCTATCACTAACCGATGGTCTTACTACCCTAGGAATCTACGATGCAATTAAGCAAACACTTGAATATTGAACTAGGATACCTCCTAGGAGATTACAATAATACCCGAGCTATTTCTACCTAAGTACATTATCCACTTGCATTTTAGTGATTGGGACCAGGTCCAAGGAATTGCACCAAGCAAAAGAAGAATGGTAACATGAACTTTGTTGGACCCAAAGTAGTTCTGCTTTGTTCTTAATGACTTCACAGACGATGTTAAATACTGTGGGAGCTAGAATATGCTGGTTAATTACATCTCATCATTGTTTTTTGGGGTTTCACTCACACGATGTAGGGGCCTGAAGGCCCAGCCAACTTCTGCGATCGAGAGCTTTTCTCTGTTCCTTCTCTGTTCCTTCTCTGTTCCTTCTCTTATTCCAAGTGTTTCCCAAGTGCCACCTTCCACTCCTTCCGTTTGTGACTGTTCCCTCGTTCTTTCCCAAAATTCGACTCGTGTTCACGTGCACTTATTACTGTACGCTACTCCTACCTAGCCCTGGAGGGTTGAAAATCAAGTGTGATTTCGTCATTTGTCTCTTGCACTGATTTTCCATCCAATCTTCCCAATCTCTCTACCTTGTTTCACCTTAATCCCTACCACCTTACATCTATGTCTGACTTCTGAATCTCTTTTCCTTGTTGATCAATTTCCGTGACTGCCTATTTGCCATTTGTCTGAAACCTATATGTTCTTGCCCTCAGTGCATGGGATGCAAGTCTCTCATTACATCTGAGTTAACATTGTGCTCCACCTACAAAAACCAAGAACCCTTCTCCCTAATCCAACTTTGACATCAAATATCTTCACTATGGATCCCAACGCAACGGACCTTGAGACAGCGGATCTTGTTTTACAAATTTCCCTACAGGAGGTCGAAGAGGCTTTGATATCACTGGATCGAGATACAAATGACGGAGTAGCGCAAGTTCGTGATGAGAAACTTGCTCTTTTACACTGGCGAGCTGAGCTTCGAGGACAAATGAGGACCCAGCAAGACCTTCGAGCATCCCTACAGATGTCGAGGGAATCATGTCTCGACCAGGCTGCCATTTTTCGAGATATCCATGATCTCGAGGTGAAAGAAGTACCTGCAGCTCATGTACAACCTGCCGGCCGTGCACCTATTCAACCACAAGCGCCTGGCAAACCCCAGGCCACCCGCCAACAACAAGGCGCTGGTCAATCGCAAATCCCTGGCAAACCGCAAGAACCTCAACTGCAAGAACCTCGTGGCACATTGGGCTTGATTCTCAACCCAGATGTTCAGACTCAAGCCCGCAAGCGAGTGTATGGTGAGACTATTGCGACGGTGCCTCCTTCTGGTGTCTTGCGGGAGTGCGTTGCCTGCTCAGAAAGCTATCCCGAGTCCGGCATTATTCGGAACAGTTGCTCGCATGTTTACTGCCAAGGATGTGTCACCAACCTCCTGCAAAATTCACTAGCCGATGAAACCCTGTTTCCACCTCGCTGTTGCCGGCTACCTTTACCATTAGAAGATGCGCGGGGTATCATCGATGCTGACCTGTGGCCGAGATTTGAGGAAAAGAAGATTGAGCATAGAGATAAGCATCGTACTTATTGCTCAGATCCGGCCTGTTCTCGGTATATTCTCCCATCACATGTCCGTGGTACAATCGGAACTTGCAGAGTATGCAATCGACAAACGTGCACCCTCTGCAAGAAGATCACTCACCAGGGAGAATGTGTTGATGACCGCATAGAGGTCCTAAAACTCGGAAAAGCGACAGGATTGCAAAGATGCTTGAATTGCAGTCATCTTGTTGAGCTTCGTAGCGGCTGCAACCATATCACGTAAGAGCTTTCTCCCATCGACATGAAAGTTTTTGACATTAGGGCTATACATGTCATGCTAATACACGATCATTTCTCTAGATGCCGTTGCCGACATGAATTTTGTTACGTTTGCTCTACACCATGGAAGCAGTGCGAATGCCCCCATTGGGATGAGGCCATGCTTCAAGAACGAGCAGAGATGATTGCGGCCCGGAACCAGCCCGCTCCTCCTGCACCACAGGTTGTTGAGCAAGCAGCTCAATTCCTAGTTGAGCAGCATGATTGTTATCATGATGGAGCGTGGAAAAAGCTCGGGATCTCTGCCGACTGCGAGGAATGCGGCGACTTCATGCCCGATTACATTTTCGAGTGCAGGCATTGTGGAATCAAGGCCTGCAATTCCTGTCGGATACATTAGGTTCTGATTGAAGGAGTGTGAGACAGGAAGCGTGAAATGGTGTATGAATTATTCAGTCAAGAGGATTGATTACCTATCCTAAGCGCGGGATAGATGGATTATGACTAAGGATTTGTTATCCATTTAAACTATTTGAGACACTTTTAGTTGGAAAGAAGATTTGATTGATAACCAAGAGCGGAATTCGTGGTAGATAAGCCACTACGGAGTACTCTGGATAGCCCTCCCTAGAGGTTGATTCGTCAGCTTATATAATCTCGGATTTAATCCCGCATTTGATCCCGTCATCTAAGGATAGCGCAATCAATGCCTTCTTTGAAATCACTCCCAATCATGTAGTATCACGTACTACGATGGTTCTGTAATCACCCATTGTATAGAAATATGGCGTGCGAATATACTACGGCAGCATGGAGTTATAAAGAGTCATATCCCCTCCATCTGGGGCCTTCAAATTAGACATCCAACACTCACACTTCATCCAGCCCTACAATTATCACTCGAAAAGCCAACTCTGTGATTACCTCCCACATTTATATTTTACCTTCAACATGACGAGCATTAAGGTTGCCCTTGTAGGAGTATGTCAGCCCATTCACCGTCATACGTCTTCTTTCGTTCGCTAACATGATCCCCAGGCTAGCGGGAATCTCGGTCCTGCAGTGCTCAAGGAGCTGCTTGACGCAGGATTTGACGTGACTATCCTCACCCGACAGGGTAGTGATAAGACCTTTGACTCCCGTGCCCACATCGCACAGGTGGACTATGAGTCCCTCGACTCACTCAAGGCCGCTCTGACCGGCCAGGATGCTGTAGTCAGCACTTTAAATGTCGGCGCAGTTCCAAAGTCCACCCATCTGCGCTTGATTGATGCAGCAGTGGCAACTGGCGTTAAGCGATTTATCCCTTCGGAATACGGTTGCGACACCACGAATCCCCTCACTGCCAAATTGCCTGTCTTTGGCGATAAGGTCGGCGTTCAGGAACATCTCAAGAACGTCTCCCAGCAATCTGGGCTCAGCTACACGCTACTTATTACTGGCCCCTTCCTCGACTGGGGTCTTGAGAAGGGCTTCGTGCTCAACCTTGCTGGTCCAGCTACACTATTTGATGGCGGTGATCGCCGCTTCAGCGCAACGACTGTCGCCGGCATCGGCAAGGGAGTTGTTGGAATCATCAACAACCTTGAAGCCACTAAGAACTCCACAATCTATATCAATGAGGCTAGAGTCACACAGAACGAGCTGCTGGAATTGTCTGGCAAGAGCATTGAGACGAATGTTGTTAAGACCACAGACCTGGAACAGGAGGCTTTTGCTGAACTAGCCAAGCCATCCCCCAACCCGGCCATCTTCGCTACTAAGTTCATTCTGCGGGCTATCTTTGGTGAAGGATTTGGTTCTCTTTTCGACTCTGAGAAGGTTTCTAACGATTTGTTTGGCCTGAAGACTCTGTCCAAGGAGGAAATCCGCGGTCTTATTCCGCAGTGAATGCTCCTTTTAATAATTTAAACAGTCTCAGATGTCCCATACACGTTGAGTGCATAAACATAAATTCAATAAATTTCGTCCTCTGATTTCACGATAACTATGCCTAGCTTTCGTAGCAAACAGACCATTAATATAGCGCTTAACATCAAATGACGTCACCGGTTAGCCCTGGCTTTCAACCACCTTGCGTATTCTGCATTGAGCTGCATTAACAGGCTTTTATTGCCATTTCCTTTTTTTTTCTCTGTCCCACATTCTTCCTTCATCAGAATTTGTTACTTTTTTGCGTCCTGAAAAGCCGGCCAATTCCTAAAAACATGAAAACAGGAGCTGCCTCAAACTCGGTGGTCCTGTACTGGCATAGGACAGACTTGAGGCTTCATGATTCCCCAGCTTTACATGCCGCTCTGGCCTTGAACCCATCGGTCTTTATTCCAATCTGGACATGGGACCAGCATTATGTTTATAAAGCACGAGTCGGGCCCAACAGGTGGAAGTTTCTGCTTGAATGCCAAAGTGATTTGTCCAGGGCATATACAAAGCTCAATCCGAAACAAAAGCTCCACGTCGTGCGCGAGGGACCACAGACCATTCTTCCCAAACTCTGGGAGCATTGGGGTGTGACACATCTCGTTTTCGAGAAGGACACAGATGCGTATGCTCGAGACCGGGATAATGAGGTTATGCGTTTGGCCCAGAAGGCTGGTGTCGAGGTCATTGTCAAATTGGGTCGGACTCTCTTTGACCCCGATGAAATTGTCCGAAAAAATAATGGCAAACCAACAATGAGCATCACCCAACTGGAAAAGGCTGCCGTGAAAATCAACAATGGCAACCCGGAGAAGCCACTAGATCCCCCCTAAAAGCATCCCCGATCCTTGGGATGACGAACGTATGGACTTGAGCAATCTTAAACGAGACTCCATTGATAGTCAGCCTGACTTGAATGTGGAACACCGCACCAAGAAAGATGAGCAATATTCTGATCTCATGGGTCCAACAAGGGACTTTGCTGTTCCCTGGCAAGACATCGGCATCGATCTTTCCCAGGCTAAAACACCCCACCGAGGAGGCGAGCAAGAAGCATTGAGAATACTGGGGGAATGTATCAAAAACGAGGATTACATCGGCAGGTTTGAAAAACCGAATACATCGCCAGCCGATTTCGAGCCCCAGTCAACCACATTATTGTCCCCTCATCTTCATTTCGGTTCGCTTTCCGTGCGGAAGTTTTGGTGGGATGTGCAAGGGGTTATGGAGAAACAACGGAAGGCCAAAAAGCCAGTCTCGACTGTGCCTACCAATCTTCCTGGCCAGCTGCTCTTCCGTGATATGTACTTCGCTGCCCAGGCACCCCTTGGACACTCATTCTCGCATACATATGGAAACGAGGTTGCTAGATTCATCGACTGGCATCTTCAAACAAACCCTCCTAATCAGGACGGGTACATCGATGGGTCCTACGATGTGGACTCGCAAGAAGCGGAGGAATGGTTTCAACGGTGGAAAGATGGTCGCACCGGATTCCCATGGATTGATGCTTTGATGCGCCAGCTGAGGCAGGAGGGCTGGATCCATCATCTAGGAAGACACAGCGTTGCCTGTTTTCTGACTCGAGGCGGGTGCTATGTATCATGGGAGCGGGGTGCAGAGGTTTTTGAAGAATTATTGATTGATCGTGAGTCTTCGTCGTCCAAACAATTCCGACGAGAGCTAACAAAGGGATGGTAGACGAAGTCGCTTGCAATGTGGGAAACTGGATGTGGCTCTCCTGCACGGCATTCTTCGCTCAATTCTACCGCTGCTACTCGCCTATTGCATTCGGAAAGAAATGGGATCCAGAAGGATCTCTTATCAGAAGATATTGCCCCGAACTAGCAAAGTTTGACAAAAAGCACATATACGAACCCTGGAAAGCACCCATTGCCGATCAGAAGAAATGGGGGTGTAGGATCACTGGAGACGGTAGTTCCTCTAGCTCTGATGATTCTGAACACACATATCCAAAGCCAATGTTCGATTTCAATGAGCGAAGGGAGATATGCCTGGCTGGCATGAAACATGCTTATGGTGTTGGATTACACGGGAATGATGTCAAGGTCAAAGATGGCTCTTGGAAGAAAGAATTTGAAAATGACGGAGACTCTGGAGGTAACAGGCCGGTAAAACGACAAAAGACCTGACGTGTGATTTCCCAGATAAATAGCAGCAAAGGCGGGAAAGCATGAGCAATAGATACCAAATAGACATCACTCACATATCTATTTGTGGGATTTTTCGCAAAAAGGACATGCCCCTAGCAGTTTAACAAACTAAAAATGGATGTTTCAGAGGCGCACTGGTGAAACTTCGGCGTTCCGGGGATTGTTGAAGCATTGAAGCCAGAAACGAGGCAAATTCTTCTATATCTATATTTCGCATCGTGGGTGGTATATAGGAATATATCCCTTAGAATTCCACTTCTAATTTTATCTGAAAAGTAGTGCTCATATTTTGTTTAATTGACTCTAATTTTGGCTCTCAGAATTGCCAGCTCATCACAGATGTAAGCTGTGGATATGAGCCAAGTCACACAACCTACGAAGGCATTCAACTCAAATTAAACCAGTGGAATCATTCTTCAAACTTCAGTTCCTCTGCAGCATCACCTTCGGACTGTTATCCATCTCTTGGATAAAGTCTTAATTGACTGCAGGACTAACATTTGCAGAACTGCCATGCTTTCCCACAGTTATAGCAGAGGTCCCTTTCACACAGACACCTAATAGACGTGGTCAGCCTTCGTGGTCTCTAAAGTTTATGGGGCCAAAATCTAGCCTACCGTATATTCTTGCATCCAGACACGCGCTCTATCATTCTAGAGCAGTTTGGGCATCGTTTCCACTGCCTCCTCTTTGCTAGTTTTTCCAGCAGCACATCATTGGCCTTCTCCTCCTTAGCCTTCCCATCATCACGAGTAATGCTCTGCTTATTGGCATTCTCGTCGTTGCAATCACCTCTGTGTCCCTGCTTTTTGCAACCGGTGCACGTTCGAGCCGTACAGAACTGGCAGATTCCCACTCCGCGGCGGATGTTATGTGGCGGGATATAGCGGGAGCAGGTTTTGTCCGAGCAATAAGTTCTCTCGGGGTCACTGATCTCGATCTTTCGCTCTTTGAATCTCTTCGTCATCTCGATGCCTATCATATCCTCGACGGCGGTAGATGCACGAATTGGCTGGCGGCAACATCGAGGAGGATACAGGGATTCGTTCGTAAGGGAATTTTCAAAAAGATGCAGAATACATTCGCGGCAATAGTTGTGAGCACATTCCGTTTGGAAGATATCTGATAATGGATACTCTTCCGTACAAGATGTACACGCATGCCGGGCCTCAGTCTCTTCTTCGCTGGTTTCAGCGATATCGTCATTCGAGCTTTCATCAAGGAGGCCCTCGTCGCTATCACCCGAGGTGATATACTCAGCTGACGATGCCATTTTCCCCGGTGACAGGGTTGCGTCTCTCGAGTTACTCGAGATTGCTCTGCGTCTCCCAATCTTACTCATGAGTTCTCCCAGCTGTTTGATGGCTCGGTTGATACCCATTCTAACTTGAGTTCATATCACAATCCATGGATTGATATTCTGGGTAGAATTCAAGATGCTCTTGTAAAGTGAGGTGGAATAGCTTTTGGAAGATCAAAAACGTTGGCCATGTTTGCCAGATCTTCTTTTATAAGTGAAGTCATAATGAGTTTAAAGAAAGATTATAGGATAGTAATTTGTATCGTATTTACAGAAAAGTCTGCTACTAGTAGAATCTATTTATATATATTGAGGACTTAGGTAATTATGATGGCTAAGATGTGTCTAGTCCTCTGTAATCTATTGGTCTTACTCAAAGGCTTAGGTATTAAGAAGCAGCACCAAAATATCAACTTGGTAACCTCCATAGGTCGGAAATGCCTCATCATTGACGAAAATAAACCAGAACACTCAAAAACAACTGTGTGAACCACATGATCTACCCTTCCATTCCAACTACACTTCGATTGTATCCCACACTATCTCCCAGATGATCAGTCGTACCTTATCCTGCTCGCTCTAAGACAAACCTGAAGCACTCCCTTGAATTGGCTAGTTCACACATCTCGTTCGTAAAGATTTTCTTCGTCTGCGAAGCTACAGTCGCATGTTTTCCACCGTTTCCCGCAAAAATAACAAAATTCGTACTTGCAAAAGCACCTAATAGATAGATGTGAGTCTAAAGACCTGCACTGTCAAAGCTGAAGAAGAGAATAGTTAAATGTTAAATGAAATTTCCCTTACGTGATGTGATAACAACCTGTGCTGAGCTCAATCAAACGACGACAATTAGAGCATCGTTGCCATTGCTTGGAGTCCGCCAATTCCTCCAGAAGCGCATCAAGCTTATATACACAAGTTCCCTGGTGATCGCGCTTTTTACACTTCCTGCATGTGCGTACTCCACAACTCGCGCATTTGCAAACACGATTACGGGTGGGCTTTCGTGGGAGATATTGAGCGCACTTTGAGTTAGAACAGTAGGTTCGGTCTGGATCGTTGAGTTCGATCGCCTTCTCCTTGTGCTTTTGAACCAATGTAGATCCGAGAATCTTCTCCGAGGCCGGAATTGGCTTTTTGCAGCATTGGGGAGGAAACAAAGATTCATCGTGCAAAGCATTTTTAAACAGGCGGACCAAGCAAGCCTTGCAATAAAAGTGTGAGCACTTCGTTTTAATCATTTCATCTTGGAGGTGGTTGTCTCGACAGGAGACACACTCATGCCAAATATCGGGTTTCGGGGAATCGGTCAAGTTGATGGCATTTTCGATGGAATTACCAAGTTGCTGGATGTCGATACGGAGGGAATTGGAAGAGGTTCTTTTTTTCTCGGACTTGGACAAGTCATCTTCTGTCTCTAATCCCATTGACATAGCAGTACCCATACTGACGTTTTTCATGCTGACCCTTCTTTCAGTATTTTGTCAGAGGTGAGTCCTTGTTTGTTTATGTTCACCAAGGATAGCTGTAAGACTAGAGACTTCGTATCTTGATCTGTATCGTAGTCCATGCAATGAAGGGAGTCCTTAAATGGTTCTGGGTGGAGGTGTGGTAAAAGGATAGAGAAACTCCCCAGAATATCTTGGAGCATCTGCAAAAGAGGGAAAATAAGAAAATAAGAAAATAAGTTGGTGGTGAGGTTGATACTACGTAACTATACCCATGTTTATGCCTAGAAAATACGGCCCTCGCTACAGCAGGTTTGAGACACCATCGCGCCAGCCCATATAATTTTGATTCCCCGGCTTCTCCCATGTAAAAGTCATTACCGAAGAAATTGATATCAGTAATGTTGAAGGAGATATAAGTACACTTCTTTTATAGGAATAATAAGAAAGACGCCCTAAGGAGTAAAAGGCAGGCTTACTCTGTCCCCTTCTCTAGATATGATATTAGTACGAGTGAAATTCGTACTATCCATGGATAGTCTTTTGGATGCTCTTTATAGATGCTCTTTGTAGGTGTATACGAAGGCCGTAAAAAAGTATATTCTGTGTACAAGACTTTTCTATGTTGTCAGCGTCTAAAACCTTCCGTGCCCTCACGCAGCACAAATAATACACACGACGTATCATTGGCGATCTGTTAAAAGCATCAAGTCTCAGAGTACGAGCACAAACATGGCGTCGATAATCGATACATCAACCTAAAAAAAGTATGGATTGGCTTGCCTTGAGCGAAATCAGGCAATGGCACATCACTCAGATGTAAGTAAGTGATTGAGCAATTTCAGATATCTGACAGACTAGATAGATCCCATATTCCTCCAAGCCAAGTGTACTAAACCCACATACTTCACTCCCAGGACCAAGTTCAGTCAGAATAACCTGGACTTATGAAAATGACTCGTTCGGATTCCGTTCGGTCTACATCTAACAGTCGCAATCTTTCCACTTCGCCCCGCAATGGTAACACCACTGAGCTCTGCAAACACAACTATCAGGTGTCAGTAAAAGGGGTTCGCGACCTCGGGAGTAGCTTGGGAGGTTTAGAAATGGCCAGCGAAATCACTTACGTGATATGATGACAGCCCTGGTTGAGCTCAATCACACGGCCACATTTTTTGCACCGCAGCCATTTTTTGCTCTTCATCAACTTCTCCAATGGCTTGTCTAGTGGAGATAGACACTTGCCCCTATGGGCTCCCCTCTTGCACTTCCTGCACGTTTGTACGCCACACTTGCAGGTACCAACTGTTTTCAAAGTAGAAACTGGCCAAAATCCTATGGCTGGCGAGATATATCGAGAGCAGGTCAAATCTGAACAGTAGGTTCGGTCTGGATCGCTGAGCTCAGTTGCCTTGTTCTTTTGTTCTTGCACTAATGCAGGCCCCATCATCTTCTTCATGTCTGAGCCTTTGATTGGCTTGTGGCAGCATTGAGGAGGGAACAAGGATTCATCTTGTAAGGATTTCGTGACCATCCGGATTAGGCAGTTCTTGCAATAGAAGTGGGAGCATTGTGCTTTGAAGATTTCGCTGCAGTCTTCTCTGCAGGAGGTGCAGATCTCGGGCTGGGAGTATTTGGTCGGACTCAGGACTTTGATGGAACGCATGATGCTCTTGAGAGAGTGAACTAGCTTTTGAATAACAGTAGAGATAAATTTGGCGAATGTCTTTGTTTCCTTGGGCAACGGGGTCTCTTCTGCCTCCCTTCCAAGCAACAGAGCTGTGGCCAACTGAAAATCGCTCAATATGACTCTCTGTCTTTCGAGTTCAGATTTCCATATAAGGAGAGCCACTCCCCTGTCGGGCTCTAGTCCTTCTGGCTGGCAGGCTGGTTGGTTTGTATCCTTCAGCAGCAGTTGAGCTTCGAACTTGTCAATCTTGTCTTTCACGTCTTCAAGCAGCAGCTCCAAGATTAAGGACCTTGCATTTGGGGGCGTATCTTGATCCATCTTACAGGGAAGGCTCTCGTATGATTAACGTGTTTAATGTCACTTGTGAAACGGGGTCTCCGAATAAGGGAGAAGTAGAAATGGACATGTGAAGCTGACTCTACAAGTAATGAACTTATAACCCCCCTGAATACAAAGACTAGCTTAACAAGCACGGCGGTCTAAAGAATCTTGGTTAACGAAAAACTTATTCAAAAAGACCTGAGTGTATGACGAAGTATGTGATTCGTGCTGTAAGGATGAGGTTGATCTATGTCAATTTACCATTCTACTAACTATCATCATTGTTATCCTCCTACTGCATTTTTTTGGTATACTTTGTTATCTATTGGTTTTTCTTCCTCATGGTTCCACCTGAGCAGTATAGGTAAATGCTATACTTCGGAAGTTCGTAGACCCTGGACCCACTAGAAAAAGCAACGATGAGTCAGCGATCTTCATCCCGCGCGGGCGACCTCGGGAGCTACCTATATACCTAGCTGGTCCCCTCAAACACTTCACTTCTGCAACACATCAACTCGGACTGGCTGTCATCAATAATCAGCAACCTGGGGATACCCACCCATTTCGCCCAAGATGCAGGGCTTTAGTAAGTCTAGATCCCAAAAGAACATGCGAAACGGGCTAACTAACATGCCACTCTAATAGATATGGGACGGTTAGCAAAATATTCCAACTCCCCACACCTAACATGCAACTAACATATCTAATAGGTATGTCCCGCCTGACCAGGAAGGCTTAGCAACCGGAAACCAAATCGCGGGGAAGCATGCGCTGGGCGCGCGTGCGCGCCACCTCCACACAACAGGTGCGCTCATCGTGCGCTTCGAGATGCCCTTCGCCGTATGGTGCACAAACTGCAAACCCAACCCCATCATAATTGGGCAAGGCGTGCGCTTCAACGCCGAGAAGAAAAAAATCGGCAACTACTACTCGACCCCGATCTACAGCTTTCGCATGAAACACACCGTCTGCGGCGGAACCATCGAAATCAAAACCGATCCCCAGAACACAGCTTACGTTGTTACCGAAGGAGGACGCAAACGCGATACGGGTGAAGACAAGGAGCTACAGCCCGGTGAAATCGCCATCAAGCCCTTTGCGCGGGAGATCGATCCCGCGGAGAAGGATCCGTTTTCCAAGATTGAGTCGAAGGTGGAGGATAAGAACCGGGCGAAGACTGAGGCTGCTCGCATACTTGAGCTCCAAGAGCGACAGAAGCGTGATTGGGAGGATCCGTACGAGAAGTCTAAGCAGCTACGGAAGAAGTTTCGACAGGAGAGGAAGGGACTTGAGAATGCGCAGGCCAAGGGTGATGCCCTCAAGGACAAAATGAGTCTTGGGATTGAGCTCTTGGATGAGACTGAGGAGGATCGACAGAAAGCCAGTATGGTGGAGTTTGGTGGGGGCGCGGCTGCTGCCGCCGAGCATGTTTCCCGCATGAGTCGTCTTCGGCCTATGTTCGAGCAGCCGGAGGAAAAGCCTACACGAACGACGCCTCCTTGGTTGCGGACTAGGAAGGGTGATCTGATTGCGAGTCGGAAAGCTGCTTGGCGCCATGAGCTGATCGGGAATTCTCGTGCTCGTATCGATCCGTTCTTGCAGGGTGCAACCAACCCGAGTACATGGAAACGTCAGGTCAAGAAGAAGACGCTCGCCAAGTCGAAACCCGCTTCCTTTTCGACACCCGCCACCTCTTCGGCTCCATCTCTTCGTGACGATCCCAGCGACACAGAGCTCGGTTCCTCTGCCGCGGCACAAAGCCCAGCATCCTCTACCGAGGCACCAGACCCAGCACTTGTCATCTACTCCGATTCGGATTGATTTCGAAGCCACATTTGTGAACTATTTTGCGATATGGGAAGGGGCGTTCTTTGAGCTTTATTCTTTTATGTATGAGATACCCACTTTGTTCTAGACTTTCTATCATAATATTACGCTTGAATTATGTATCCCGGCATGCTTGTGTCGAGATCTCTCGCTACTTAAGAACCGGCCAATCTGACCATGGCAGTATGAGAAAGGGATAGTGTAAGGTTCAACTCAAACAAGTTGTATGTGTAAGATAAAGATATTGAAACAAGAATAGTGGGAAAACCCCGACATAGTAAGACAGGGTATCCTGCGTAGTTATTACATACAGTAGAATCACAAGAGCAGAGAGTGAAACAGGATTCAACAAAAGAAAGTCATGCTGCATCACGACTAAGAGCTCAAAAAGGCGCCAAATCCACGCGAAACTCAGCGTTTACTGAAAAATGAGACTGTTGCTGCGCGGGTCCGAGTGGGTTCTGGCTCGGGGGCTGGTGGGACTTCGGAATTGGGTGTGGTCGAGGCGCTGAGAGACTCGGAGGATGCTTGCCGGGAGAGTTGGGCAAGTTTGCCAATGAGTCTGGAAGAGATCAGTATAATGTTTCGATTAATACTCGGCATATATTTTGACTGACCTGTGATGCTCGCTGTACCAATCGTCATTGGCTGTGCGGATGTGCTTAAGCTGTTCCTGGATGCTTGCCATCTATGGAATCCATTAGTCTCTGTATACGCTAATATAGTCTTCATAATCATGTGAATGGGTGGAATGCGGGAAGATCTGATGAGTAGGAAGAGTTCTTCAATCGGGGATCTCCCACCGTTCCCTCAATGGATGGGCCTAGGTCCTCACCTTCCGTTGTGGCTGGACCCCCATCTTCAGCGTTCTCGCTACCCTCATCGGCTGTCGCCCACCGGCTAGCCTCCAAGCCCGAAGAGCTGCTCTTCTCCCCACTGTCCGCCTTCAGAACTGCGAGCTCGGTTTCGAGTTCACGGACCCGTCGCCGGCTGGCAGAGATATCGGAATCAACGTCGCCAAGCTGGTTTAGGAGGCCCATGTTCTTATCAATCTGATCGTTCAGGTCACGTTCGCCAGCTTCAAGCTTCTCGGACAAGGTCTTGTTTTGGTTCTTGCAATCTACAAGCGAGTCAGAGATAGCGGCGTTATCAGCCTTGACCTTGAGAAGCTGATCGCGGGATTCAGAGAGCTGCTTCATAATCGACTCAAGGTGCGACTTCTGGCTGTCTGAGTCCTTGGCAAGCTTTTCAAATTCACCGACCTGGGCGACAGCGGCCTGGTACTTCTCTCCAAGTGCAGCATGATCAGCCTGGATCTTGGCGAGCTCGGCTGAGTAACGACCCTCGATCTCCTTCGAAGCAGTGGTGGCAGATTCCTGAACGGCAAGGTGGGCTTTCTCGGAGTCAGCAAGCTTGGCCTGCAGATCAGCGACTGTCGCCTTCAATTCATCCAAAGCGGAGGTGTCTTGGGCAGCAGCCTTGGCCTGCGACAGCTCCTCGTTGACACTAGCCAGAGCTGCATCGTGGGCCTTCTGAAGGTCATCGATCTTGGTCTTGTTAGAAGCTTCGAGCTCCTCCCTGAGACCAGACAGCTTGGACTCGTTCATTGTAAGAAGCTGCTCGATTGCCTTTCCGTGCTCGGCATCGATCTCAGCAGCCTTGGAGGCTTGGGCAGCCTCAATCTCTGCCTGCAGCTTAGCTTTGGTCTCTTCGAAACCCTGCTGGAGTTCAGCAATTGCCTTGCTGTGCTCAGCATCGACATCAGCAGACTTGGAGGTTTGGGCAGCCTCAATCTCAGCCTGGAGCTTGGCTTTGGTCTCTTCAAAGCCCTTTTGCAATTCGGCGATTTGCTGCTCGTGAAGCTCGGCATCAGCTTTGCTAGAACTCTGCAAAGTGGAAAGCTCGGCTTGCAATTTCGCATGAGTCTCTTCGAATTGAGTCTGAAGTTCGGTGGTCTCCTTTTCGCGACCCTCGGTATGAGTAGCAATCTCACGAGCGTGGCTTTCAAGTACCGCATTCAATTCAGCCTCGAGTGACTGAACCCGGGTGGCGTGGGTAGACTCCAATTCCTTGTGCGTGGCAAGCAACTCATCGTGCTTCGCCTGGAGATCAGTGAGAGCGCTGACATGGGAGCCCGATGCCTCCTTGGCCCGCTCCAATTCGGATGCGAGCTGAGCAGCATGCTCAGCCTTCAACTCTTCCAAAGCTTGTGCGTGCTTTTCAGCCACACCAGCAGCCTCCAAGGTGTGTTGCTCGAGAAGGAATACGGCTTCTGCAGCCTTGTCCTCCAGAGCCTTCATCTTGTTGTCCTTCTGTACACCCTCTTGCTTGGAATGATCTTCGACATCCCGTAGAGTGCGGTGGATAGCTTCGGCTTCGGCTTGCTTGCTCTGCATCTCTTCGAGCAGCGCGTTGATTTTACCAGTGCCAGTGGTCAACTGCGATTCCAGCGACTCACACTTCTGTCGAAGAGCGTCAATCTCTTGGATGGCAAGGTCTTGGGCAGAGGCGTTTCCCTCATCCAGTGCACGGCGGGACTCGCCGAGAGCATTCTCGGAAGCCTCCAGCTTCTCCTGCAGCAATTTGAGTTCTGCTTCATGCTTGGTCTTAAGCTCAGCAACGGCATCTTCTTGTCCCTTCTGGGCGGCAGCCTTAGATGCCTCGAGGGCATCACGGAGTTCCTGGAGTTGCGTGGTGTGCTCTGCGCCGGTCGATTCCGCCGCCGCCATGGCGACAGTGAGCTTCTCCGCGTGGGAAGCCGAAATATCAGTGATAGCAGTTTCATGTTCAGTCTTGAGGCTTGCGATAGCAACCTCATGGGCAGCCTCTAACTCCTTAACCTTTGATGACAATTCAGTGGCCGCAGTGTCGCGTGCCTCCTGGAGCTCCGTTTGAACTTTCTCAAGGGCCTGCTTAAGCTTGGCGATTTCTTGATCCTTCTCAGCAATCAAAGTAGTCTGCTCAGAGCTTTCCTGGGTAACAGCTTCGGCCGCAGCAAGTTTCGCCTCGAGGGAGGCTACTTGCTCTTGAAGACCAGAGATACTCTCCTGGGCAGACTCTTCCGCGGCACGGACCTCCTGCTCCTTGAGCGTGTTCAGCTTCAGAATCTCCGTGTTAAGGTTCTCCATGACCTGGTCACGGCCCTTAATTTCTTGGTTGAAGTGTTCGAGGTCCAGAGCTTTCTCTTCCTCCAGGGCAAGCTTCTGGAACTCAATTTCCTTCTTCAGAGCAATGATCTGCTCCTCAAAGTGGGTAGCTGCGGACTTGTGCTCTGCCAGCTCTTTCTCGATGGCCTCAAGCTGAGTCTGATGTGTTGACTTTAGCTCGTCAAGAAGGGCAACTGTCTTGTCATCTCCTTCTGCGGCAGCGGATTGTCTAGCTTCTTCCAGATCCTTTTGCGAACTCTCCTCCAGCTCTTTCCGTTGGGACTCCGCTTCGTCTAGTCGTGCTTGCAGGGCCTGAAGCTCCTCGGCATGGGTCGATGTCAACTTCTCAATCTCTGCGGTGTGATCTGCGCGAATAGCCTCAGTTGCACCAGAATCACCCAAGGGCTCTTCGGCCGAGACAGAAAGCTGACTGAGCTTCTCATTGACAATCTCTAATTCAGTCTTCAAACTAGCGACGGTCTCCTCGCTCTCTGTAAGCTTAGTCTGGAGGGCCTGCAGCTTCTCGGAATCACCAGTTCGCGAAGTTGAGCCAGGAAGCGTGCTCAGTCGCCTCTTGGGGTCAGCCGTGGTGGCAGATCTGGCGGTGCTTGTAGTCGAAGTTGGCCGGGCAGTGGCAGGTCTAGTGGTGGAGGTGGAAGTGGCAGTCCGGCTTGCGGGTGTCGTCGACGAAGTCAACCTGCCCACGGGCTTGCTCGTCGAGGTCGCGGTGCGCGTAGTTGTAGTGGCGGGCTTCCTCTCAGCAGTGGGGCCAGCAACGCTCGATCTACGATCGATGGAAGAGGTAGGTTTGAGAGGAGCGCGGGTGGAGGTGGTACCGGCCATGGACATGCGCTTCGCGGTACCGGAGATTCCCCGCCTCTCATCTCCTGAGCTCGCCACAGACCGAGGCTTCTCATCTGCAGAGCTGCTGACTGACATGCGAGAGCGATGGGACGAGACGGTCGAGGTGCTCAGCGGTTTCCGGGTGCTTGTCGTGGTTGTGGGACGAGTGGGAGGTTTGTTCAGCGTGCCGGTGGTCGTTCGGGCTGTACCAGTCGTGGGTTTCGATGCAGAGGACGAGGTGGGACGTTTGGTAGTAGCTGTTCCAGATACAGGACGCTTCACGGTGCCAGGGCTAGCCTTACCCGGAGAGGCCGCGGGGCTTTCCTTGGACACCTCGGGGCTGGGTTTGACAAACTCTTCACCTCCGGAGACAACGCTCGACTCTATCGGGGTAGCTGGGGGCTCATTTTCATCGACCTCCACAGGGGCAGGGGTAACGACTGGTTCGTCGTTTGAGGACATATCGGTAGATTATTCGGAACTGGGGTATTAACGAGGGCAGGCTTCGTGGTAAGGTTCAGTTGGCGTGTACCAGTGAGCTGTCTGCAAAAATCGTGATGAGTTGTCAGCTCTGGTTGTGTAAATTCAGAACGCCTAAACATATGATTGCCCAACCGGTGCGCTGTCAACCCCAGATTTGGGCTCTCGAATTCATGCAACCCCAATAACCTCGTCAGGAGCTTGTAGCGTTCTGGGTACAAGCATGAAATACCATTGTCCCAGTCGCTCAAGGTAATACCGGTGTGCCTGCAGAGCTGGATGCCATTGTACAGCTCAAACGAAGCTCCCGTCTATAAACAAACACGCAGAAAAGAGAAGAATGTACTCACGCGCCGCACAACCGTTCCAATGTAAATACTTCACAGTTACTCAAAAGCTGATATCCAGACCAGGAGAAGTCCAGACCTCAAAAAAAAAAAAAAAAGCAAATAATCCGACAAAAGCAAACGGTGTCAAAATGCTTTAGGGAAGAAAAGGGGAAAGCGGGAAAAAGAGAAAGCGGTGTCAATTTAGGAGGGGGGGATCGCCGCTGCTCTATACTTTTGGACACTTTCTCAACACATCCCCCTAAAATGGGTCGTGCATCCGGGGTATCTCCTTACATTGGTCTTACTGTCATTCTAATATTCCAAAATAAATAGTTAAATAGTTATAACTAAAGGTTCAAAACCAGTCTTGTATACGGAGTATTGATTATTTGGTTTGCTTGGTATCCATCTATCATGTCCCCTAAAGTGCTGGCAAGCTTCTCCGTACCACCTTAGTAGGAACTAGTACCCAATATGTCTCAGGAGCAGAATCAGGAGCTCAAGGATGAAATTTCTCCTAAATATAACCGGACCTGAGTATCTCACCATATCACATCTATCGAATTTTTGCTAAATAACTACACTACTTTTCCCAAGCATATATAACTGCATATGTACATACATATATGTATGTAGTCAAACTTCAGCCGAGGTATATACCTAGGTAGTGTGTTGATAGTTGTCCATCCATGGATATTTAACACAATGCCTGTGGTTCGCAGTTTGTGGTTCGCGGATTGACCCACATGGGCATTCCACCTGGGCACATACCTAGGTACATACATACCTAAGGTTAGCCTGGAGGTACCTTACGTATACCCCGTGGACATTCCAAGGCTTTAGAAGTATAAAAGATTCAAATCTGATGTGATCTCTATGAGCTTCATTCTCGCAAAGGGGTATTTGAAATCAAATCTACGTAATGCGCCACCAATATCCCACTTAATCCTGTCTCTCAATCAAATCATGGGTCGTCCAATCCGAGTTTGATGGCTTGACCCTGGATATGTTGTAGGATGCGCTGGGAGAGTTGACCGCCAATTGTATTGTCACATTTGATATCGATATATCGATCTTCCCCTGTTGATACCGTCAGAATAGCACATAGCATGATAAATGAAAAGTCTTACCCTCATATGATTGTAAGCCATCACGGAGTGCAATCGTCTCTGCATGGGTCCACCGTCCACAAGAGATATGGCTGTCAACCTCTTCCAACTCAAATTGCCTGTACCCTAGAGGGCGTTGGGGGGTACGATGAGGTGTCTCACGTAGCCGGCCGTCGTTTAGCGCATCCTTGAGAGTCTTCACATGTCGCATCACCATTTTAGAACGAGCCATCACGCCCCCACTAATATCATAATGCATCTGGGCGAGGGAGGATATCCTATCACAGGACCCCCAAAGTAAATCCAGGATAATGCGAAATTGTCGCGCTCCCCGATCATTAATAGTCTTGTATGTCTTGAATCCGTGTATGATTAGGTCAATCAGTCGGGGAACAATATGGGCTTCAAGCTGATTGACCAGGTTTGCACCATCCTCTTCATCCTCCGGGGCTTCCGTGTAAATGATCCACTGGTTCTCTTTAAAGACGCTGTTCGCGATGAGGCTGCACTGGTTTTTCAAGGAAGAAGCTGAACCAGGGTCCTCGGCCATTGTTTCAAACAGACTTCGTAGCCGCCTAATGAGCTTTATGATACCCCTGAAATGGTCTTTTGCAGAGGGATCAGCGTGGGTCTTTAGAGTTTTCCTTGTTCTGCGCATTGCTTCCCAGGTGTCTTTGAAGCCAGATTCTTTGGTCGCCTCGGTCAGCCACGTGAAGATATCGGAGCGAGCGCTTCGATGGTCCTTATTTGGGTGGGGTGGCTCAATATTTGGTGTCTCTGGTACTTCCTGGAGCTGCGAGGCAACTTGAGATTCTCGAGCATCCGCTGACTCGCAACTTATATGTGTGCTATCCCTTTGGCTTCTTGGTACACCCTCGAGGATTTGCGCCTCGAGGGTGTCTGCATTTGCAATCTGCTGGGTGGGTGTTGAGTGATTCTGGTCTTCAGCTGAAGAATGATCATCCGCCTCTTCTTCATCTTCATATTCGGATCCGTCCGCAGATGCATCATCCTGTGTGTCTCTAGCTTCCTCTCCAGCTTGATTATCTGTCGCCTTTTCGCCTTCATGTTCAGGTCCGTCTCCAGGTCCATCGTCTTGTGTATTTGTAGCTTTGTATCCAAGCTGATCATCAGCTTGATCCTCATCGTCGGCCGGGAACAGATCGACTGGTTCGGGAAACGGGTCATATTCAGCTTGGCGCTGAAGCTCGTCCTGGTTCTCGCTCAATTCTTCCTCCCCGTTGTCGCCGGGTACATCTTGAATTGGTTCAGACTCCCTGTCGCCTGACCCGGATTCGTCGTTGCTGGGCTCGTTGTCTTCTTCATTGTCGGAAACGTTGGGAGGTGACTCCAGTCGCGTGGATCTAGGCACTGCACGGTTTCTCAAACTCAACCGGTTTGTATTTTTTGGTTCGGTTTGAGGGGTCCTTCGAGATTTGGTCGGGGAGGGGGAGATAGGAATATCAAAGATATCGCCATGGGTGGTGCGGCGCCTTTTGGGATCCTGTATGTTCGCGATATTGCGCCCGGGCGCATTGATATTATTCAAGAGCCCAAGGCTGTAGTCGGTAGATCTTTTCTTGGATTTTTTTGACGGCATCTTCAAAAACGCGTGGGGAAGTTAAAAAAATAAGCAAAGACGCGGTAAGGGAAGAGCTCTGGTGGAGCCGCAAATAACCTTGGAACATCCCGCTTCCCCCCTCCAACCTTCTTTCTCCCACTCCAACCTCAAGATATTCTCAAACATGGCTAACCCGGTGATTCGTGTGTTGTCCACTGTGGAATCTACACCGTACGCCTTTATCAAACCCAGCAAAAAGATCCACGAGTCGCAAGATGTATCGACTTTCCTGACCTCCAAAGCCTATACTGATATCATGACGTGGATACTACAACTCAACCGATCTATGTTTCCACTGAAGTCGGCCGATGATACTATACAAACTTGGACTCTCAACAGTGATGCGATACAATACTCCGCTCCAGTCCGACAATTGCAGCGACTTCTCTCGAAACTCGAAGATATCATACAGGAGGTCCCACCAGATACCGGCCCGCGGAGGTTTGGAAACATAAGCTTTCGAAGATGGTCCGAAGTCGTTGAAAGTCGCGCATCCGACCTGCTAAGAGAATGCCTACCGGCTGACCTCTTGGACAGGGGATCGTCGGGTGGCGGCAAAACGGCAGAGACGGAGTTGAAATCATATTTCTTAGGCAGCTGGGGAAGTGGCCAGCGATTGGACTACGGTACTGGTCATGAGCTGAGTTTCCTAGCCTTTCTGGGCGGAATATGGAAGCTGAATGGATTTCCCAACGCCGGTCCAGGGGTGGAGGAACGAGCCATCGTGGTCGGGGTGATCCATCCGTGTGTCCACCAAGAATCTACCACGCTGGATATGCTTCGTCCCTTACTGACTGTTATCACCTAGATACCTGCAACTTATCAGACTACTCATTAAGACATACAACCTTGAGCCTGCTGGCTCCCACGGCGTCTGGGGACTTGATGATCATTCCTTCGTCCCTTACATCTTTGGGTCTGCACAGCTATCGCCTGCAATCAATGATACTGATCTAACTCCCGAAGAAGGCTCACTGCCTAATGCACCCGACCCGGCTGGAGTCGCCAATGCAAAAGTTGTTGAAAGGGAACGCCAAACTAATCTATATTTCTCCGCTATCGGATTCATTTATGATGTGAAGAGAGGCCCGTTCTGGGAGCACAGCCCCATGTTGTTCGATATTTCTGGAATTCGAGCCGGCTGGGGCAAGATCAATAAGGTTCGCAGTCTTGATAATCAGTTGAGATGTTCGCGCTAACCGGTCACACCAGGGAATGATCAAGATGTATAACGCTGAAGTTCTCTCAAAATTCCCCGTGGTACAGCACTTCCCTTTCGGGTCCCTATTTAGCTGGGACCGTGATCCAAATGCGCCTGTGCCCCCTTCTACGGTTCATGCCACATCTGGTCCTCAGGCACGCCCTGTTGCGCCGGATTCTGGCCACCCTTCTGTTGCCGCTACCCGTCCTACTCCTGGAGCTGGCACTCAGGCTCCCTGGGCTAATTCCGGGGCAGGCGCCCAGGCTGTTCCCCCGATGGCCTCGACAGCAGCCCCGTGGGCTGGGGTGAGAAGAGAGGGGGTCCCGAACTCAATGCCTAGCGGTGCGACCAGAGTTCTCTCCGCTCTCCCGGATACTTCAAGGATGCCTCCGGGCCCCATGGCATCGACGAGAGCACCTTGGTCTGCTCAGTCTCGGCCTTCGCCTTCACAGAATGGTGATGCCGATGTGCATACCAAGGCTCCCTGGGCAAAATGATCATGAAAAAAAAAATCATACGAATAGTTACCAATATACACATGTTGAGGTCTTGTAACAACTAGTTCCTGTATCAATACGCAGGCACCCATCAACCCGCAATTGAGTCCCATGTGCTGTTTCCTCTGCCGGTGCAGTAGTAATGTGCTCTGGGGACCACCTGGGCACTTGTCTAAGAATATATCTATCTTAGTAACCTCGGTTCCACATCACAGACTTCTCATAGCCTCCGAGATTCGTGGCTCGGCCAATACCGGACCGAATAGGTTGTATGAACGAATCATAGTCATAGTTGATAGTCCACTGCCAAGGAAAATCGGGCCGGAGTCCACCCAATGCCAAGCCCTCGGGATCGGTTCTGCCTTAGGTATGCTCATTTGGGGGGCGAGGTGTTTATAATTTTCACCTGTTACACTGAGTCCAGATAATCAGATTAGAAGCACTGTTCAACATTGCGGCATCATGAATTGCCCATCTCGGACTGATGACACCTTGCTGCACGATGGGTGGAATCAGAACCCGCGCTTCCTTTCTCCGGACCTAACCACCCGCCAAGACCTCAATGGCATCTCAAACACCCGCGAGAACAAAGACGATGAGTCTGGTCCAGGCACTTTGCGGGGAAGCTCCAATTGTAAGGGCATTCTCCCGCTAGAAGAAAAGGATGCAGAGAATCATCTTGGCTTGGGGTGCGAGGCGTCCCTGACAATGTCAGGTATGAACAGCAAGCATATATTCAAGTGTTAACCTTCTAACGAGTGAACAGGACGCCTCGCTCCCCAAAATACTAACGTTGGAATCGGTCACGAAGGACTGAGCCCAAGTAACAATGTTTTCCTATCATCTAAGAGTATCAAGGCTTGGGCGTTGTGGCTCCTCTCCGTGCTTCTTGTCTCGGCAGCCATCTCCTTCAACAGTCTGAAGCAGTATTTCACATCTAAACAACCAATCATACTGGAAGCACCTGCTGTACAGCAGTATACAGAGCCAGTCAAACGATCAAGTTGTGCCCAGGGAGGTACCCGCGGTGCATACGACCTACCTCTACACGTTGCGGCCCTCTTCATCATCCTAGCCACTTCAAGCATTGCGTGCGCATTCCCCATCCTTGCAACTCGATTTCCACGAATGCACATCCCGCCCGCGTTCCTTTTTTTCGTCACTCATTTTGGAACTGGCGTCCTCATCGCCACGGCATTTGTGCATCTCCTTCCGACGGCGTTTACTTCGCTAGGAGACCCATGTCTCTCTAATTTCTGGACAAATGACTACCCAGCCATGCCGGGTGCCATTGCCTTAGGTGGTATATTCCTCGTCACGGTCATCGAAATGGTATTCAGTCCAGCCCAGAAAATCTGCCGTGGAGGAAATCAGGTCCCAGCCGAAAGACCAGCTTCTTGCCCTGCAGATGTGAGGCCAGGTCCAAATCCAACCCTTGATGTCCCTAGATATCCCGAGCATATTAGATCGCTGAGCTCGAACTCCGCTGGAATGGATGGCCGATCCCATTTGCGAGATATGGGTCCGCTAATTGGAAGGTCTGCGAGCATAAGTCGAGCTATCAATCGCATGGGCGAAGGCACTGAAGATATAGTTCGAGTTGCGTCTGCTTCTGATGTTCGAACTCATCACGAGAAGGATAACGGGGCTATACAGACAGACGTGGAGCGTCATGACGATACCTTCGCCTTAACCCCTGAGCAGAAGCAGAAGAAAGAGACCATGCAGGTCTACCTTCTTGAGATGGGCATTCTTTTCCACAGCGTGTTTATTGGCATGTCACTTAGTGTGTCAGTTGGCAATGAATTTGTGATCCTGCTGATTGCCATTGTATTCCATCGTGAGTTTTCCATATTCATCTAGTTGGTTGGAGCAGTGCATCTGACTAAATCAACAACAGAAACATTCGAAGGCCTGGCACTTGGGTCTCGCATCGCCTCACTTCCCTGGTCGGAAAAGCAGATCCAGCCCTGGATCATGTCCCTTGCGTACGGATGCACGTAAGTTAATTCCCAACTCACACCGGACGCAGCGGTTCTAACAAATATCTAGAACCCCAATCGGGCAGGCTATTGGCCTCGCAACCCATACACTCTACAGCCCCGACTCGGAGGTTGGTCTGCTCGTTGTTGGCGTCATGAATGCCATTTCAGCTGGACTTCTGATTTTTGCTTCCCTGGTGGAGTTGATGTCGGAAGACTTCCTCAGTGACGAGAGCTGGCGCATTCTCCGTGGCAAGAGAAGGGTTTATGCCTGCATCTTAGTATTTTTGGGTGCTTTCTGCATGAGCATCGTCGGTGCCTGGGCCTAAACGCCTCAGGATATAGATGCTCTGGAATATTTGGTCTTCCACAAGCTGCACAGTTGGATTCGTCCATCAGTAGAATTGCAACTGGTCTAACTTTCGAGCAAAGTCTGTATATAGAACGTTGGTAGGGGAAGTTTCATTATAATTGGCTTTCCAGTATATATATCAAAAATATAGACACCGGCAGAGGGGAGTTGGTTGTAACCCCCCAGTGTCAAGTTCGTGAGAATGTATTGCATCTCCTCAAGATAGGTTCAATAGAAGATGTCCTCTTATCTAAAATAATATGATTATTCAATGATATTAGTATATCCTACCGATCCTAGGTAGAGTTACTCCACTGCTATACCCCGAGACAAGCTGAGAAAAGAGACACTGACAATGAAAAACTAATATAGAAAAGGAGCAAAAAAGTAATCACTCCCAACTACTCCTGGTGAGGGTCGAAACCCTGACCAGTTTCGCCATTGCATAAGCTTCCCAATGCGGTATCACCCGGGGTCATTGTTCCACGTAGCAATCAGATGACCTCGTGTCTCTCACCCACTCGGCCACCCAGGGAGGATTTTGACAATATATTGTGACCTAAAGTCAAGTAGACCATTTGGAAATCATTTGGGGATCATTAAGACAAGATATCTATTAGCTGGCATTCATTATTACCACGCAACCTTACTAGGCCCCGTTCTCTCATCCATATCCCTCGTAGAATAGACCACCTAGGTATCATTGAAACAAGATATCCATTAGCTAGCATTCACCATCTACCACCCACCCCACCGGGCCCTGCTCTCTCGTCCATATTCTTCTTCATTGTAACCATACTATTCGTCACGCAGATCACTGGCTGTCCGGACAGAACTATCAATCCGTTGCCCTCGGAAATGGAGATCTCCACAGCAGCTGATCATCCCAACAATGTCACCATCTCCCAAAAACTCAATCCAACCTTCCTGGTGATCGTCAAAGCTCATTTCACCCTCGCTAGTCTCCCACCCACGCCACATAAACGGAATTCTGTCAAAGGAGGGTCTCATAGGTCGTTCTGGCATCCACAGCACACCCTCAAACATCCCGAACTCGTATGTCCCCCACATCTCCGTTCCGTTAAGGCGGAGGGATAAGGTGATTCCGTCAGATGGCATAGCATGTGGCCATTGGTCTTCAATATCAGAGGAACGAACTTCGTACGTCCCATTGAGTAGACCCAGGGTGTGTTTCAGGGTTCGGGGTGGAGATGGTGGGTCTAAGTATGCCTCGGACTCGCTCGCATTGCCATTGTCCATCTGGTCATCTATAGCACCATAAGGGTGCTCTCCTTTCTGCTCAAGTAAGTTAGTTACGTACCCTTTACGTTTGTCAACGGAGAAGATATTTACCATCCCACAGGCAACTTCGTACGAGGGGGGCACATCCTGGTACTCGGGCTGCTCATACCATCCACTCGGCTCAGGGTGGTTTCTAGTGGGCACATTCGTGTTGTATTGTCCTTTTTTGCTAGACACGCGGCGTTTAGTGGTCTGTGGTTGATTGGGTGTCTCCTTGTCATTCGAGGCTCTCTTTCTCTTGACCGGGGCAGTTAGAGGCGTAGTAGGCTTGGCGGCTGTGGGTTTAGCAGCAGGTTTGGTCGCTGCGGCTAAAATTGCAGTGGCTTTGGGGGTGAATGTCCTGGGGGCTGTAGCCTTCTTGGGGGCAGGCTTAGGCGTAGCAAGTTTAGCAGCAGCAGGTTTGGCCACAGTAGCTTTGGAGCCAATGGTCCTGGGAGCTGTATCTTTTTTTGGTAGAGCAGCTTTGGTAGCCGCAGGTTTGGCCACGGCTTTGGCTGTGGTAGTCTTGCTCTCGGTGGTTTTGGACGCGACAGTCTTAGAAACTGTAACAGTCTTGGTAGTAATAGTCTTCGTCGTTGTGATCTTGGTATTGGCCTGTGGATTTTCCTCCGAATCCTGTTTTTTCCATTCCTTCTTCAGATTCCTTTCGATTTGTAGGCTTTCCTTGGGGACACTCAAGGCGCCGTCTTGCACGGCTTTCAAAAGCCGCATCTTGGCAGTCGCCTTGACCTTTGACGGCGGCAGGCCATAGTGAAGGAGCTGTGCTTCATACCAATGGCCTGGGTGGTCTGGTGTGCTCTTGTCTGTAGTCACGGTATCGTAAAGGGCTTTTATCTCAGCTGGAGCTGCACGGCGGTGGATCTGCCCTCCCGACGCGGCGACATAAAATGTGTCGACATTGTATGAGAATTTGCCGTTGGTGACAGGCGGCATGATAGGTTCAATGTTAGTCTAAAAGGAGTGAAGATACGCAGTAAGAAGAGATCAGTACGGAGTAGAAGATACTAGTAGGGGATCGGATGTTGACAGAGGTGGGGCCACGACCCCACCTTGATCTGCCTCATCTTCACCCCAAACTTTAATTTCTTCTATCTCTTCTTTGCCTTTCTCAGATATATAGCTATACAAATCTTGATTATTGACCTTTGTAGACTCGTTTAGGTATATACACTCAAGGATGTTATGTTTAACATTTGGGTATCATTCATGAAAAGTCCACAGGAGGGAGCCCCCTCTGTTCCAGGGCCACCTGGACACTGTACTGCATGGTCTCTATAGCCTCTTCCCAGCTTATAGTTCCCTCAGGCCGGGACCCTGTTAGCTCTTTAGACCCCTGTTGCGAATGATCACCCACCAACCACATCAGCCAACGCACCACTGAAACGGCTTTGTCCACGTCCTTCTCTTGCAATGCCACACTGGACAGATATTTACATAACGAAGTAACGTCATCACCATATGGACCACCAGCTGCAAAGACTTCATGCCATGAGCCAACAGCATCTCGCAAATCTGGTAATTGGGACAGGCGCTGTGATGTAAAGACAGGACGCTTGGGGAGAGGGGGCAGAGGTAGAAATTTCTCTACAGCAACTGGTGCAGGAGGAGCTTCCTGTGCCCGGGATGGAGGTCCTTGTGCAGGTTCAGTGGCTCGCGGACGTTGTTGCATGCGAAAACGGTTTTGTTCTTCGAGAAGCTCTTGTCTGATATCTTCAGGTAAAGCAGCAAGAAATTCGGCTGAAGGTTCGGCTGGCTCTTCGATATTCGGTGACGCCTGTCTAGACAAGGCCTCTTCTTCAATACTAGCAGATACGGCTGCTGGGCGTGGAAAAACGAACCCAAAGCTGGATTGGTTCAGAGGCTTGGGCTTAGGCTTGTTGGCGATCGTTGCTGACTTGGGTGGGCGGCCACGCCTCTTTCTGGGGGTGAGACCGGCCTTCTCAGCTTAAGAGAACTAGATGTTGATGGGCGCGACTCTGATACTTCCGGCGCGAGCGGCGGGGCAGCGTTAGTTGCTGGATAGTTATAATAACCTAATACTTCTTGACGAACATCTTCAGGCAATGCCGCCAATGCGTCTGGGTCCAGCTGGGACTGCGGAGGGAGGTCTGCTTGGATAGGCTGCCGTGACTCACGCGGGAGAGGACAAGGAGACCCAGAACGAGAATTATGTCGCGGCTTTGCTTGTGCAACAAGCCTTGACCTGATGTCTCTGGGTAGTTCAGCAAGGACTTTGGGATCTGTTTGAGTGGGCATAATAAACTGGGTCCCCGAGATGTTGAGTGGCTTGTGGGCACTATCGCTGAGTACTGGATCCGCTTGAATACGAACAGAGTCATCTTTCTGCGGACTCTCCAGCTCGTCGGGGTCTGCATCTGGAATGATTTTCTTGCGAGGTGGGGATTTCTGGAAGTTGAGTTGTCGCTGGCTGCTCTCGGAGCCTGAAGGGCCAGACTTGATCGGTTCAAGTTTAGTCATTTGCACACCCAGACCTCTCAAGTCTCCAGGTGAAAAGTTGAAGCTTCTCAACATCGATATTGCTTCTTTCCCAATGACTTCCGGTACATTGGTCGCAACACCAAGGGCGACGCTTTTGTTGAATGTATCACACTTTCCATGGCCGAGATGCTTAACCGGTTCCAGTGGAGCGTCCATCGATCGACGCATGACCTTTAGGGTGAGCTGTTTCCCCTTCACCAGATTTTCTACCAATCTTCGATTCAGCTCCTCGCACAGAGAACGCACAAAGTCATCTGCTTGGTCCTGATTGACAAACCGAATCCCCCAGTTGACCTCGGCCGAAACAGATTTCCTTATGGTTTGATCGCCGACTTCTGTTCGGTCGATTCCACGAGCATACTCCCATAATTTAATTCCAGTTTTGGGTCCCAGGCCAGATATCAGTCTCTCCTTCGGGAGATCTCGAATATCTTTGACAAACTTCACACTCAGCTCTTCGAGTTTAATTGCCATGCTATTCCCCACTCCAGGGAGATCACGAACAGCGAGATCTCCAATAAAGCCCAGAACAGCATCTGGCTTCAATTGGAACTGCCCAGCAGGCTTGGCTTTTCTGAGAGACACTTTTGCGAGCAGAACATTGTTGCCAATTCCGACAGAGACTGCGCATCCGGTCCTCTCTTTGATTGAATCGCGTAAGCCTTGGGCAATTTCGTCCGCTTTAGCTTGCTCACGATAAATTGATCCTTCTGATATAGCCTTTCCATCTGAGCCGCCAGCTTCCACACATAGATTTGTGACGTCAATCAAAGCCTCATCGATACTGACACTCTGCACGGTACCATCAATGGCAAGTATCGAGGAGTAGAACTTGCGACTCGCATCTTCATAGGCAGGGAAATCATAAGGCAAGACTTTGAGTTCGGGGCATAATTGCAAAGCACCTTTCATCCACATCCCATTCTTAACACCTCGAGCACGTGCAGGATAATTACAACTAGCAATCTCGGAGCCTGACCCAGTGCCATGGGCGATAGCAACCGGCTTGTCTTGGAGTTCGGGGTGATTTAGGACTGAGACAGCTGCAAAAAATGAGTCAAAGTCCACATGTAGAATGTACCTTCTTGATCCAGGTACAGGTTTCTTTTTCGGTATCTGAGACTGTGCATTTTCCTTCGTTGCAGCCTGCAGTTGGGCTTTCAGATCTGCCTTCCAGGTTGACAGATGATGGAGGCGAGACTCTCTATAATACTGCTGTAGGAATTCCGGGTTGACAACAGAGGACTTCTGCATCCTTGGGTCGGAAAGGAGCTGTGCGTTGTATTCTTCAGAAGTCAAAGCGGGTTTTGTTATACTTGTTTGGGCGAGAGGCGAGGTTGATTCGAGGTCAACCAATGGATCTAGTGAGGTGGGCACATGATCGGGATTGAGAGCTTGATGTGGCATTGTGGATTGGGCTACATCGCGGGCTGATGTCTCTTCTTGATGTTGAGGGCCATGATCTTGCTGCTCTTTCTCCATAGTGAAGCTAGGGAAGTCTCCATAGTCCGACTGGGATGGCTGGCTCAGCATGGTTGGTGTGACCGTCTGTGCGGCTTTGGACCGGGTAGATGGAGTTACAGGCTTTGATGAAGAGCCAAGACCCTGTTCGGTTTTGCTCATATCTCGGAGCTGAGAGCTATACCAGTTGGCCCTTGATTGGTCTTTGTAACCTGTGCGAAGGCTATTCGTCTGGCTGGTAAACCGGCCATCATCAAACTTGAGCACCCGCTGTGCATGACCTTCATCTACTATTCTAAATTCATCCCATGGCAGCAGACGTCCCGCTTTGATACTGTCTGTCACCCAGGTAGGTTTCACTATACGGTAGCGGCGGAACTCCTCACGCTTCTTGGGTGTCAGAGCACTGGCGATGATATGAGTTGCGGCAGTCTTTCCATCTAGATATTGAAGGAATCCACCCCCATGGCTGACAATCAGACGGTGCAGATCTTGCAAGGAAGGTTGGGTGTACCCATTGACATGGGCAACTACACCACGGAATATTGGCGGGCAATCGCCAGCTGATGCTCGAATTTCCGCATCAAGATTCTGCAATTTCATTTTTTTCCGGCGCATGTAGTCCCCGAACCCGCCAAAGCTGGAGGCCTCATACTCCTCTCCTCCTTCATCATTGAAGTCATCTAGACACAGTCAGATAAGATCAAAGACTGATATTTGGACTGAACGTACGATTTTCAATGCGTTTGCGCACTGCACTAGAGTTTATCTCATGACGGGAGCCCATGTTGGGCTGCAAAGACCATCATGACCGATAAGAGAGTATAAAGACAAAAAGAGAGCAGGCGTTAGTTACCCTTTCGCACGAAACTCGGTAATCATCACGTGTATCCAAGCTTTCAGAAAGCGGTCACCTGTGGCAATACATCAGCGGTGAATGATTCTTTGATCTCATTGATCGATTTTTTTTCTCCAATTTTTTGCCGCATCTGTTGCTTGGTAGCATCTTTTCTTTTCTTCTCTTTTCTTTCCTTCATCCACATCTGTTTCCACGTGGTTCATTCTCTTTTTGAACTTGATTCTTTTTCATCTCCCCCAATCTACTCTAATTACTCACAATGTCTGCTGTTCAGCCTGTCGCAGTCTACGCGCTCCGGGTTCCTCCCGGAGCCATGGTTCAAGCAGTCCCCAACGCTGCTGCTTCGGTCAGTCTTACTGTGATCATGAATTAACTGATGATTTGTGCTGACATTGAATCTAGTTCCGCATCAGCATGGCCGCTATTGATCCCGATGAGGCCCCAGAGTACGAGGATGACCAGGACTCTAGCAAGCCTTCCCGCTCCACTCTGAAGATTGTTCGCGCTCCTCCCGGTCTTGACCTCGATGAGGATGATGAGGATGATGAGGACTACAGTGATGAGGATGAGGAGGAATCTGATGACGAAGAGGAGTCCAACGGTGGCCCTAGCGACAAGGAGAAGGCCCGCAAGCTTAAGGCTGCTGCTGCCCTCAAGAACCTCGAGGACGCCATGGAGGAAGATGATGATGAGGAGGATGATGAGGAGGACTTTGACCTGAAGGCTGCCATCTCCAAGCTCATCAAGGGTAAGGGCCCTGCCCTTGACGATGAGGACTCCGAGTCCGAGGAGGGCCTGGAGCTCGATGAGAACGTTATCTGCACCCTCAGCCCCAGCCAGGTAAGACAAACACCCTCTTTCATTTTACAACTCGATGAATACAGGCATCTAATACCCCTATAGAACTACCAACAGCCTCTGGATATCACTGTCTGCGAGGGTGAGCCCGTGTTCTTCAAGGTCACCGGTAACCACACTGTCTTCCTGACCGGTAACTACGTCATTGGTCTCGATGAGGGTCACGACCACGACCACGACCATGACCACGATGATGAGGACGAGGATGACTACGACCTCTCTCCCGATGAGGATGAGCTCGACATGGATGACCTCATGGCCATGCAGGATGATGATGAGAGCGATGACCTTGATGACCTTGAGGACCCCAGAATCACCGAGGTCGAGAGCGAGGAGGAGGCCCCTAAGCTTGTTGAGTCCAAGAAGGGCAAGAACAAGCGCGCCGCTGAGGAGGAAGTCACCCTCGATGATCTGATGGCTAAGGCCAACAAGGCCAAGTCTACCAAGGCCGAGGAGCCCGCCTTGACTAAGGCCCAGCAGAAGAAGCTCAAGAAGAACAACGGCGATGCCGCCGCTGTTGAGCCTAAGGAGGCCAAGAAGGACGCTAAGAAGGAGGAGAAGAAGGAGGCCAAGACCGACAAGAAGGTCCAGTTCGCCAAGAACCTCGAGCAAGGCCCTACCCCCTCCGGCGACAAGCCCACCGGCACTCTCGGCGTTAAGGAGATCCGTGGAGTCAAGCTGGACGACAAGAAGCTTGGTAAGGGTGTTGCTGCCAAGAGCGGTAACACCGTCGCTATGCGCTACATCGGCAAGCTCGAGGACGGCAAGGTCTTCGACTCCAACAAGAAGGGCAAGCCTTTCACCTTCAAGCTCGGACGTGGCGAGGTCATCAAGGGCTGGGACATTGGTGTCGCCGGCATGGCTGTCGGTGGTGAGCGTCGCATCTCCATCCCTCCTTCTCTCGCATACGGCAAGAAGGCTCTCCCCGGCATTCCTGCCAACTCTAAGCTTATCTTCGACGTCAAGCTCCTCGAGATCAAGTAAACTACTCGACATTGCCATCCGTCTTTTCATCGGGGTGTTTGAGGTTACCGGTTCAATTGCATCATTCCTGTGATATCCATTGCTGTCTCTTTTTTCAGTTCACTCCCCCACTGCATTTGGCAGGGATGAGATGATCGCGAGGAATTTGTATCCCTGCATGGAAAAAGTGACCATTTATTGCTGTTTATTATATACTTTGTACTAGTTTCTTTATGAATTGATCATATCATTGAGTCTTAATTTCTATTCCATTTTATATTTTTGTAAAAAGTTGTAAAAAACACAAAAAAAATATGGAGCCGTATACGTCGCCTTCTTGCCCTTAGGTCGCAAGAAATTCCCCGGTATGAAACCACATATTAAATAAAAGGAAAATAAGGCAGCCTGATGCATGATCTTCTATTTTTATAGATATGAAACTCAAACGTGAGTGTTCTTTGTTTCATATAGTCTCGGGTATCAGTATAATGGTTCCCTTTGCCTTTTTGAGGCTATGGAAGGCGATTGCTGATCAACGTCATTGCCTCATTTGCCGACCTCTAGAGCCTCCAGCTAAATCGACTAATCACTTCCAAATCTTCCTTTGTTCTCACACGTTGGCTTGCCACGTTTGTGATACATTAACCCTCCCATCTCTCTCTCTGTTATCCCTGTTCTCTCTGTTCTTCTTTATCCAATAAAATTATGGCCATCTACCCAACTGTGATCACTCCCCGCAGATAAGGCCATGACTCGTGACTGATCTCTTATCGATTATATCAGCTTCAATCCCAACATTTGCGTTGTACAACATCTCAGAACTCTTTAGGTGATTATCAGTCTGTATCGCGACATGGAAACTGGCGACCGCATGTTATGCCATGCCTGTGGCGGGGTTTGGATCAAAGGCGATGATTTGACGTGCCCGCATTGTGAATCCGACTTCACAGAAATAGTACAGTGAATGCATTCTCTCTTAATTTATTTGATTCTAACCCTGTCTCTTCCTCAAGGTTGAGATTCCCCCAGAACTGCCTTCTGAAGGTTCCCCCTCACACCGTGCCGACTCCCCGCCGCCGCGCGCCAACCCGTGGATGGACCACAATCCATGGGAACGAGACACACAAGAACGGCAAATCCCTGGGTTTCTCGGAAGTGAAACTCCTCCATATTCCTCGTTGCGTACCTATAGATCGCCCGACGGCCGTTTCTCGTTCAGCAGCGCAACACTTGAGACTGGAATGCCTGCTGGTCAGCGCAACAATGGCCCGAACCCTATGGTTCCAATGATGATGCAAAGCTTCGACACAATTTTACAGAATTTAATGGAACCAAACCCTCGCGGGTACAGGGGATTCGGAGAGGACCCCTTCCATCCTCAGTCATCTACATCTCCCGACTGGCTCGAGGACGACCACCTCACAGGTCATCACCCAGGCCTATTTCCCCGCAATGCAGATGCGGCGCAACATAGTAACCGCAATCCGATGGACATAAATGAGTATGTAATGGCTCTATCCCTTGTGAATGTTCGCAGACTAACCAGAATCTAGGATCATGGATGCCATTCGCGCTGACATTGGGGTACAAACTACGCGACGTTCCCGTGGAGCTCGTGGCCTGGGCAACCCACATGCTCTTTCGATATTGTCCGCCATTCTCAACATGAGTCGAAGCGGGGATGCAGTATATTCGCAGGAGGAGCTCGACCGAGTCATATCACAACTGATTGAGACTAATGGAGGGACCAGTACTGCGGCACCCCCAGCATCAGATGCTGCCGTTCAAGCTTTGCCAAAGAAGAAGGTTAATGAAGAGATGATGGGATCTGAAGGGAAAGCAGTGTGTTCAATATGCATGGATAACGTTGAACTCGGCTTGGAGGTCACTGTGTTACCATGCACGCACTGGTTTCATTTCAACTGCATCCATGCGTGGCTGACCCAACATGACACTTGTCCACATTGCCGGCGTAGCATCAATACAAACATACCGTAAGTCTATGTGAGTTGTATGCATAAACCGAGAACTTTCAGCTGATGGCATATTCCACAGAGGCAGGGAAGGCACCTGCGAGAATCCGGTAGTGATCCAGGATAGTCCTGACCAACCGAGATCCCCGCGGCGTCACAGTTCTGCTCGCACTACGCGCAGCGGTCAATCCTCGTTATCTTCATTGCAGACTCGACTTTCCCCGCGGATTTCACCACGCCAGTCCCCTACGCCGGAGGGGGGCAATCTAGCAACCGACGGTCCAGCCGAGGTGAGGGTGGCAGTGGAGGGGGATTCACTAATTGGTTTACGAACCGATTTGGAAGCAGCGCATGAGGATAATTAACATAACAACTATGATTTGCACGCGGCGGGCCTTTTTTTTCCCTTGTTTTCGGAATGTTTTTCACACCATGCTTCATTTGTCAGTTTTAGCGATTCGGCTGGTTCGATTACTTTTTCTTTCCTGCGATTTTCTATTCCTCCATACCCTTTTTCTGGGTGACTTTTACACCGTGCGATGGGGAATTGAAACTTGTCTAGTCCAGATGTCTTTTGCGAGAGTCTGTTTTGTAAAGCTGTACCTTCCTCTACCACATGTACATACTCATATCTCACATTGTCATTTTGCTTTTGTATTAACCAGGGCATATACCATAGGAATATTCTCTTTTTTTAAGCAGATTATGAATAATTGTTTCGTGTTCGAATACAGTACCAGACTGCAACGTCAGGATCGGCCTCTCCTTGCATCGGATCTTCACGATACCACTGTCCTGGCTCGTTTATAATTCATGAGTACCTTTTGTGTGTGGTTACGTTTTCTTTTCATCATTAGATTTGGGTTTTCAGTCCACTTGACACATTTATTACTACATGTGTATATATATCATTGGTGGCTGGGGTATGGATCATGGTATCCTAGAACCTTTTCATAGGTGTGATACACTATATTTTCCCCTGTAAATGTCGTTTTCATTTATCTATCATTAAAGATCAACTTCTTTCATCCAATTGGGCTTGTGGTTTAGTGGTATAATACTCCCTTAGCATGGGAGTGGTCCGGGGTTCGATTCCCCGCGAGTCCATCTTTTTGCTTCAAGATCATTCTCTGAACATGGGCGAATTCTTTTTATTGTGTCTTATTTTATTAAACCGAGGCTATAAAGGATTCTAGTTTATTTACATGGTTTAAATATAATCTTTTTTACCAAGGGTTGGGTGTTCTTCATCCGTGGATGTCCTTTGACTTTTGTCTTTGTTAGCCTACATGCATACAAATGCAGGTACGTTGTACTCAAAAGCTCCAACTTCCATGGTCGTTTTGTTAGTTCTACATATTAATTCTATATTCGTTTCTGGTCTTGTGTAATTTCCTGGTATGTTCTTAGGGGGGGTTCTTATTCGACATCTTGGTTGGTTATATATTTCGAACGCCTGCAGGTTGATGATATTACACAACCTTAGATTAATTTACCTAAATAATTATAAAATCTAGAACTCCACAGCGTGCTAGGGGAATAATAATAATAATAATAACAATAATAATAAAACAAAATAAGCCCAAACCCTCGAAAATATTGAGTTGGAGGTTCCCATATAGAAGTTAAAGCCACTGTCTAAAGAAATCGGAAATTAACAAGCCCTTCATACTAATTTTCCACGAATTTGGTCCTCGAATGCCCGAGAAGGGCATGACCTTCTGAAGAACGCGGATCCTCTAGTCAACTTTCAAGTTATTCCTATTAACTTCTTCGATATCACAATGAACTAGTATCGATACTCTTTCAAGGTTCATTCATGATTGTGCACCAGCAGGCCAAATGGCGTTTTACACCCAGTCCCCTCATACTGAGGTTGAAGATACCACCATGCTCAGCACCTAGCTAGAGCATACATACTAGTTCCAAAATGGCACTGTACTGCCCTTCGAATGATTGGAGCGGAGGCTATGGACAGGAGCACCCAATGCAAGTGGGGGTATGATTCAAACCTTGACGGCCCCATCAGTATCATGGTAGGTCAAATTGGCCCTGGGGATACAGACCAGGAGATAGCTGTTGATATTATACACCGAGCCTGCATAAATAAGTGGGTTTGGCGCTGACTGGTCTTTTTGCACTTTTTTTTGCTTCTTATCTGTGCCCCAGAAGGAATCTGTGCCCCGTACGGTTGCATGATTTGACGGGTTACTGTATCGCGAAAGTGACTGCAGCGGAAGCTGCCGTTATATGATCCCGGGCTGGCTGTTGAGTCCGGAATTCCGAAGTGAATAGTGAGCTGTCTCAAATTCTTTGAAGGTTACTTAGATGGTGGCGTACAGTGGCCAGACTTCCTGAGTAAAGTGAGTTCGACCTGTCTTATCATATAGTGGCGTACGTTAACGCCTCCAATGCACCGCACCAATGACTTACTGACCACATGTTTCTTTATATGCCCGAGACACTTCTTCTAGTTAAAAAAAAAAAAAAAACATACGAATGACCTAGGAATAGTATGACTACGTACGTAGATGATTTGTCTACTTTGTTCCCTAAAAGTCCATGACTTTTGCAAACTCGTATTCGAAATGAGGGGATGCCCCCATCAAAGGTTATACATAGAGAAGTCTCTTCCACAGAATATGCTTTTTAACCGCCTTCATATACACCTAGAAATAGCACCCAAAAAGAGCATATAGAAAGAGCATCCAAAAGACCACCTAAAAGACATCACAAAGTCGCATAAGCGGCCGACTATTCCTGTCATATATTATACGATGATAAGATCACACCCACAAAGATCCAAAAAGCCTGAACCCTTCCAAGATAGGTGCATATGGCGTTGCAACCCGGGCATTTGGGGGCGAGATGAGATCGCCCATGCGGGGGGTCCAGGCGTTATTAACATGTTTCAAAGCAAAAAGCAACTATAAATTGTCTGTTTGATTAAGATAGTATCTCATTTAAAATACCGCCGCTAAATTGGAAAGCCATCCAATATCTCAGAACTGCTTTACATTGCCTGACAGCAGAACCCGTTATTCCAACCCGTCATTTGACCACTTCCTGTCTCCGTCCCCACGCTGGCTGACTTGTCATAAACCACGACCGAAATGGATTTAGGAGTCTTTGACGACGAGTTGCTCTGCGTTCTCGCTCGTCGCGCTTCATGTCCATCCAGACGGTTGGGGTAATGACGTGAGGCGGTGGTTGGGGGTAATTGGAATTGGGTGCTGTCTCAAAACCTGAGTTGATCCCGTTGAAGTCTTCAACTGGATATCTCGAAGAAGAATTTTCGATAGTTGCGGAGTGTGATATAGGTATATCTTCAGGATCCGTTGATGGGGATGATATTGGGAATGCGACTGTACTTGGTCTGGGCCTTGAATGGACCGGTATGTGTTCGGGATAGGCATGAGAACCTGAAAAAAATTCAGATGTGTCGTTGTTTTTGAGATTTGGACCTGTGCCAGAGGACTGTGTATGTTCCTCTGCCCACTCCGTTCCCATTGATAAGTCGAACTTCCTACTCATCTTTGTTGTTCCCGATAGCGTAAAGTTTTGACAGAAGGTAGCGTATGACTGATGTAGACGCGTCTCTCTTGCTGCTTCCACGTCGAAGATAGGGCATTCCTCTTCGATGGTTTCATGAATAGGGTCGTATGTTTTAACATCATGAACTTGATGAGGTGACGAGCATAGGTTGTGTGGATCAATATCTGTTGTGTCATGGAGATCTTTGAGATTCTTTTCGCTCAGCGTATGCTCTTGAACTCCGGCTTTGATTGTTTGAGATATTCTTTTAGAAACCCTTCTTGTGAGCTTGGCAACTGTGTTTCTTCGACGGAGTGAGTGTCGTAGTTGCTCTACCGAGTCTTGAGTAGAGAAGGTATCACTTGAAGCGAAGGAAGCATTGTCGTTGACAATGAGGATATCAGGCATTTTAAATAAGTAGACTGATTTAGATGGTGATTGAGAGAGGAAGGTCGAAGGTCAGGCTGGGAATAAATAACTCTTCCGTGTAGCAAACGGCGTTCAGTTTAATCGAGCAGGGGTTGAACGAAAAGAGGTTGAAATTGCAATATCCAATATAACGAGCAAGAGAGAGCGGTGAATTTTTATGAAGTAGATGGATGTACTCTGGTACTTATTGCAAATCGATTGCAGGTACGGAGTACTCTCCACGTAATAAGAAGATAAGAAGGCCAAGATGGCCCAAGACCGTGGGTATTGACGGTTAATACGATTCACTCTCTTCAGGTGGGACAGACTTTCTATTAAACTATTTCTTAGGGCAATTTGGGTTACTTGAAATACCACCCTATACCCTAAAAATATACACAAAGAGCATGTGCCTAGGCAATATAGCTACAAAAAGACCAGTTCGCGCTTGGTCTGTTATTATCGGGGCGTATACGGAGTAGCAGGGTCTACTACAGCAAGCCACCATGCAGGGTGAGAGTGGAAAGACGTCAGAGGCACTGAGACGAGAGGATGAAAACGTGCGATAAGGCTTGTTGTGGTTCTAGGAGAATCCATTGCCTAGTCCTATACTGAAAATGTCCTATTATCGTGTAGTACACCTATATTCACTTTCATTTGTGCAAAGACTTTCCATAATAAACGTTGCAACTTGCAACGTCGTAAGAAGACCCCAGACAAAGGGGCAGTGAGACACAAGTCATCCCACCATCAACGCCAATAACGGTGGCGCTATTTAGTAGCCTTGTCTCGGACATTGCGCCCAATGCACACCGGAGATCACTGGATTGCCTAACTAGGCCCCCATTGGATATGGTTCACATGTGTACGGAGTAAACATGTGGTGATGTCCGTGCGGATTGCGGCTTGCGGCTGGACGTATTCGATATAACCATTTGTCCACGGTGGATGGGCACTTTAAGCCTTGAGAGTTTGATTGAAAAGCAAGATCAAAACATATCGTGAACTTATGTTTATTTACAAAGCTATGTAAGGCAAATATAGATGTATCAAAAGGCAATAAAAGTACACTCGTGTCACATTATCCAGACACGCCTTCGCGCCCGAGGCCCCAGCGACCAACCTCACGCATGGCCTCATCACCACCTTCAGCTAGCCGTCCGTTCGTATTAGAGGGGTTGCTGCTTCCCAGGACACCAGCCACACATTGCCAGCCATTGCGGCCACCACCCCAGCGGAGGACTTCATTCTTGTATCGCTCACCGGCGGCACGGTCAGTTGCCGCCTGGCCAGACTGGAAGACGTCCTGCCAGAGTTTGTTCGCGATCGCTCGGTCAAAGATATAGCTGTAGTACGTGGCACCGTAGCCATACAAGTGGCCGAAGAAGCCCTGCCAAGAGGTACGTGGCTGGACATTGTTTGGGTCGGGCAGACTGGAATACTGAGAAAAGACTCGATGATAAATATCGGTGGAATCAATGCCAGCCGAGCTGACTTCAGCTGGGATCGAGTGATAGGCCTGATCAACGAGCGCCATGAGGATCTGTGCTTCATTCTCAACGGCACCATAGATGGACCCATGCGCAGTGCGGTCGAGCTCCATGCTCTGCATCATGCTCTCAGACAGAGGCTCGTCGGTCTTCCAGTGTCGCGCGTAGAGGCGCAACACCTCGGGGGCAGTCGCAAAGCTCTCCATCAGTACGGAGGGAAGCTCGGCGAAGTCCGTGGCGCACCGAGTACCGGAGATGGACTGTAGAGGCGTTTGGCCCAGGATGGAGTGGACAGCGTGGCCCATCTCGTGGAACAAGGTGCGAACGCTCTGCTCACTCAAGAGAGTTGGCTGGCCGGTGCCATTGGCCTGAGGTTCCTGGAAATCACACACGAGAGCAATGGTTGGGAGTTGGCGCAGGGTGTTAGTTACCGGATCTACACCAGTGGCCATGCCATCATTCGGGTGCGCAGATTGGTTCATAGAGGCACACTCGGCGATTTCCTCTGCGGAGATTTCGCGCGAGCAGCGCAGAGTAAAGTGAGCTGGATTTGGGTGCTTGCTCGGCCGTGTAAACAAGTCACAGTAGACGACTGCAATATGATTCTCCGACTCGTCCACTACATCCAATCGACGAACGTCTGGATGCCAAGTCTCGCCGGGAGATGCTTCATGAGGGACTAGACGCACACCATACAAACGGTCAAAGAGTCGAGAAAGACCTTGCATCACGGTACCCAAAGAAAAGAACTCATTGATAACACCCATGTGTCGAGAGCGACGGGCTTGGGAGTACTCTAGAACGCGCTTGTGAACGTAGTAGGCGTGGTCCCAGGGCTGCAGGGAGGAGCCTCCCTTCAAGCTCTGCAGCTTAGATAGTTCTTCCCGGACTGGACCTTGGTTGCTGGACACAAGCGAAGTCAAGAAGTTCGATACTGCTTCAGGTGTCTTGGCCATTTTGTCACCGAGAGTCATGTGCGCAAAGCTATTGTAGCCCGTGAGTTGGGCCAACTCTGCTCTCTTCACTAGAAGTTCCTCCAATCTTTGAATTTGACGCTTGCTGGATGTCCGAGTGGCAAGATAGATGTCTTTGCGAACATCCTCATCATGCACTGAGCGCAGAGCAAGTCGAGGGACGATTCCCATAGTGGGAACTGGCGCCTTCTTATTCCACCGCTTGATTTTGGAGATAACCATAGGATCCAATCCTTGGAGGCTGTTGGCACCAAAGACCACTTGGGATCTTGCAGGCTCCGCGCCGTTCATGAAATCGGAACCTAACTGGCTCACATCATTCGAGAGATTTACAAACCGCTGCCTGACATCGGGTGGCATATGAATTGCAGAGTTCGAGAAATCCTTGTTGAGGATCTGTGCCACGATCCGTTCTGCCTCGGTCCAGTATGATGTCACGTCGGGGTTGTTCAAGGCCTTATTGAGCTGTTCATGAAGCCCTGTAGTTGTGTTCAAAACGTTCATATATTCAAACATGAGAGCCCACGCCTGCGTGGCTGCTTCTTGTATCCGCGGATCGGGGTGAATGGTTCGAATGAAGTCGGACAGATCGATGACGCGACACAGGAGGTCGCTCAGTTGGTCAAGGTCTCGTGCTAGGGCCCTGTATTCTTCAACCGTGGAGGCAGCAAGAACCTTGGCTACGATAGCCTGGCATCTTTGTAGCGAGATATTTGCGAATGTCCTAAAGCCCTCGGGGCTTGTTAGGTATTGGTTTTGGACCAATCCAGCTTGCTTTGGGACAGTGGTGGTGCGCTGCTGGGAGAACTCGTTCCAAAATGGCTGAGAGTCAAAAACACGGCGCAGAGTGTGGTCATCGGTCTTCTTCCTTGGTGCACTGTTATCTGCTGGAATGTACTTAAACGATGTTGACGGAGAAGATGCGGCACTCTCGAAGGCTCGAGATTGGGGCCGCAGACGTAGGCATTTCCGACATGTCCATGTTCGTCGCAAAGGGCGAAGCATTGTAGATACTATATTAAAAACAGATAAAAACCATCGGAAATTGTAAATTCACAAATCCTCTATTGAAAGAAACATAGAGTCAAGGAGAACGGGCAATGACGGAGTTTTCTGGAGGTTCCGCCGAGCCGAAGAATTCCCGTCTTGCTCCAACACGACTTTGCTTCATCCTCACTACCAGCTCCCCCCCTTCTCGTCTTCCCCACACCCTCAGGATGTCATTCCGGCCGATGTTGCAACAGGTATGCATTTTTATAATTGCTTGCTCTCAAGTTGGATGCAATTGATCCCCCAATATCCTGTTCCCATGCTGACTTGTGCCCAGCGGGCTGTGGCTCCGATCGCAGCCACTCTCCTCGCGGGAGGTATTGCTCTGTTCCCCAAGAAGACCGCATTCGCAGAAGAGCCCCGAGACAATGTATGATCAGATCTGTTCCTAGCTTTATTGAATGTATGAGGAGGCTTGGTCTGACACACGACTGCTTCCCTAATATAGCGGAAACCTATCTACGATGACTTCCCAGCCGACATTCCTGAACCCTCCAAACCCTCTCAGCTTGCTGCGCCTGCCGCCCCGAAGCTGATCTCCGCGCCAGCTGCGCAATCCGCTCCCTCTTCGCCCACCCCGACAGATATCCTGACCGCTCAGGTCCGACAAGCTCGCCTCTTCCTCTACTCACACTCCCTCGCCGCAGAGCAGGGCTTCAACAACTTCCTGTCTCGGGCCCTCAACATCGAAAACTGCTTCACCAACACCGTTGCCTCACTCGCACCTTCTGCCGAGTCCGGCGAGCGTCTTTTGCCCGGTGGTGTCTATGTCGTTGTGACCGCCATGGCTGGCTCGATTGTCTCGCGTAACCGTGGCATCTTCCTCCGCACTGTATCGCCGCTCGCTTTCGGTACTGCTGCCGCCTACACCCTCCTGCCCGTGACGATGCGGAATGTCGGAGACTTGGTTTGGGAGTATGAGAAGAAGGTCCCTGCCCTTGCGGAGAAGCACTTGGCTGTCCGTGAGCGTGCGGAGCACATCTGGTTTACCGGAATCGCGCACAGCGGAATGGCGCGCCAGATGATGGAGGAGAAGATCGGTGACACCCGGAAGAAGTTGGAAGAGCTGGTGAGCAAGGGCCACTAAATATAGCCCAGCTGTTTGGGGCTATAGAGCGGATTTATTTGTTGCACATGTACGCTTAGAACTCGTAGATCCGAAGACATAACCGGATTGATTCCTTTTGTTTGAATCGTTCAGCCATAAAGTAGGTGACCTGACAAGAGCACCTATGAGCGTACGCTTGCAAATGGGGACAGGTAGCTTGCGATGATCGACATAATTTGATTTCGTCATACTCTACATTAAATTGATTTCTGTTTTCTCTAACCCATTCATTTATTCTTCCTCCGCAGGTCCTGGTGATCCTTCCGGCGCAGGGCTCCCCGAGTGAGGGGGCGGGCCTCCCACCTTTGGCGGTGGAGGCAGAGGAGTACCATGCCGTGACGGCGCATAGTCTTGCTCCCGACTTTTCTCTTCACCTTCGGCAAAGTAATCATCAAAGGCTCTGTTGGGCGATGCCGCTGGCCGTGATTTCCCTGCTCGACGGCCGGCGGGGGATCTGCTCTGTAACGGCGAGGCACCTCTTGCTTGAGCGGAGGCTAGGGGGGCGGCGCTGCGATATTTGCTGGGATTAGGAAGTTACCCGACGGAGCTGCCATTCCTGGGATGGCGCTTGCAGGGCCACCCACCGGGGAAGCGGTGCCATCCTCGCGTGTCTCGAATACAACTTCCCCTGGCCCTTCGACCTCTTCTCCAAGTCCAATGGGTAGTCGGTGAAGAGCACCGTATCCCAACTCTGCACCAAGGGCGCCTTCGCCACCCCAGCCCCTGGTAGGGATGAGTTCGACCTCACGGACCACATCAAATTCGCTATTGTAAACCCACAGCACCAGTGTGCGATTTAAATGATCTTCAACCAACTCCCCGAGTGCCGATTCCCCTCTTAACGTCCCACTGGGAGTTCCAATGATATAGTCTGAGTAAGGAAGCAACCCAGCTTGGTATGCAGGGCTGAGTGGCGATGGAATTGCAATAACATGCCAGATGTTTTGCGTAGAAGAGAGGGGGGGCAAGCTGCAGCGCGAGGCCGAGGGAGGGATTCGTTGGCGGTATAGGATGAGTGACTGTGTGTGTTCGTTGACCCTAATAGTATATAACTTTAGCTTGAATCTAGAGGGACCATCTTAGTATCCTTACCTTCGCACTCCACACTTCAAGTGTCAAGCTTCCCCCAGCACAATTTCGGCATTCTGTCGCAAAGAGGTTTGGGTCCGGATCTTCCTGTATATCAGTGTGAGTGAAGCTATAATGCCGGGGAGTAAAATGCTCCTCTATACTCACGATTGTATGACCGTTGATACCCACGATAAAGTCAAACCATGGCTCTAGAGGTAGTTCTGGGTCTTTGTTGCGGAGGACCTGGAACCCGAATGCGTTGTCACTGGGGCCGTTGCGAGGCTGTTGGCCAGGCTCCCCGTCTAGCCGGCCGATGAAGCGATTTAATGCGCCGAACATAATTCCTCGCTATAATTAAGATTGCGAGAGGTGATCAAATGAGGCTGAAATGGGGAAGCTGTGGTCGTGTTTACCTCGTGCGAGCTGGCCAGATACGTAGGTGCAAACCATGCAAACACCACGCATCTTTATCAGTTATCGAGAATGGATCGATCAACTCGCTTTATCGCTGCATTGTATCATGGCCGACGAAGACGCGCCTCCAGAGGTGCACCACTACAGCAGTTTGCACGAAGTACCCTGGGACATCCAGAAGTGAGTGCCATTTTTACCAAAAAAATACCAATGCTAACCCAATTACCAGCTACTGGGCACAACGCTACCGGATCTTTTCAAAGTACGACGATGGTGTATGGTTGACCGATGATGCTTGGTTTGGCGTCACGCCAGAACCAGTCGCCAAGTTCGTGACTCTTGTCCTATTATTCCAGATGTCCTGCTAACCCTTTGTTCAGCGTAATAGCCTCACAGATTGCCGAATCAGCGCCTGCTGGGCGCAAGGTTCTCGTGGATGCCTTCGCTGGCGCAGGCGGAAACACCATCGCATTTGCGCTGACCGGAAAGTGGAAACGAATCTACGCGATTGAAAAAAATCCTGCCGTGCTTAAGTGCGCAAAACACAATGCGAAAATCTATGGGGTGGAGGACAAGATCACTTGGTTTGAAGGCGATTGTTTCGAGATTCTCAAGAATCAACTCAAAGAACTGGCGCCGTACAGTGTTGTCTTTGCCAGCCCTCCCTGGGGAGGTAAGTCTCACCGAATCTTTGCTTCTGTGGCATGAGCTAAATGTAATAGGCCCGGGATATCGTTCAGATCAGGTATTCAACCTGAAGACCATGGAGCCATATTCCCTCCAAAGATTGTATGATGAATACTCAGTATTCAGCAAGCACATGGTTCTTTATATCCCAAGAACCTCTGATTTAAAACAAATTGCAAAGCTGGTTCCTGACGGTGACAAGGCTACAGTAATGCACTATTGCATGGAAGGTGCAAGCAAGGCGTTGTGTATTTTCTATGGGGACTTCAATGTGTCATGACTTATGGTTGCTATTCATTTGACAATAATGTCATGAAGTGTATTTTTACTACCAAATATGTTTTATTATCTTTTTGTTCATCGTCTGTGAAAAGATCCTATTGAGTCCTATTGAAGTATTGAACTTCAGGCATCGAGCTGATTGCCTTATCGGGTTAGCGTGGACCCGTCCCTTGCGCATTATCCTGGACGCCCGATTTCTCTCTTCGACCACCTGTCCGACACACCCCTCCTCCTCTCCTCTCTCCTGCGCGACTAGAGCCACGGCAAAACCCACGTCAAAATTACAGACTCGCAAAATACCCAGATGTGCATATTCTGAATCGCGTCGTCGCCTTGCCTGGCTCGCGCCTACATTCTTAACCTACGATTTCTCTCACTAACTTGTTGAATCTAACGCTTTCTTCATTTCACAACACTTCTCTCACCTTCAACACAGGCGTACTTGCCCATAATGCCTCACGCAACGCCGAAGGCCCCGGAGGGCGAGGACGATGCCGATTTCGATGATGTGATGCGGCAACTGAACAACTACGAAGATACTGGCCCCTCTTTAGATTTCTTGTCGCGTGACTTGGAGATCGGCGAAAAAGCCGACGATGCGATCGACTACGAGGATTTCGAAGACGATGAACTTCCGGAAGAAGAGGTCGTCGGACGCCCGGCCCCAGCCCTGCCTGCAGTGGATGACAATCAAGACCCTTTCGCGAATCTGGGCTCAGACGATGCCGCTCTTTTCGGAAATGGAGACGATCTCTTCGGTGACCAAGCAGAGGGGGCTCAGGCCCAGGATGACAATCTCGATGATCTTTTTGGCGAAGGTTCTTTTTCGCCGCCTCCTGCTGGACAGGATGATGCTACCCGTGGCCTTTTCGAAGACGAAGAAATGCCCTTAACGGATGCCCCCGTTGATTTACCACCCATCCCGTCAGTCCCGGAACCGCAGCCAGAGCCACCTATGATGGAGGAAGATGAATTCCCGGATGATGACAGTATCATGTCGGAAGACATGAACCCCGTCGAACTCCGCGCATGGAAACTTCAGCAGCAGTTGTTCGCCATGTCAGGCGTTGAAAACCCACCTGCTCCGCCTGAGAACCACGAAGAGCTTTTGCATTCCTTGTTTCCCTCGTTCGACCGCAACACTCTTCCACGTTGGCTCGAGTTGATTCCACACAAGAAAGCTATCTTCATTGGAAAACAGCCGACCAAGCCGCCTAAGCCTGTCTTGCCCACGAAAGTGAATATTGAGCTGGCGCCTGATCATGAGCGTGCATTCAGAACCGGGCAACCCCTCAAGCGTGGCCTCGATCACGAAACTCATGGTTTGGTAATGATCACACAATCGGACCACGGAGAGGAGGGAGAAGAGGCGGAGGAGGATACAAAGGATGACATGGACCTGGATGATGTGGACGGAGATGAAGTCCTGCCGGGTGGCTTCACCATGCAGGACCTGAGAACGATTTGTGTGGACTGGGATGTTAAGGATGATGTCTCCAGCATTGACTCGGAAGAGAAGCCATTGGCGCAAAGAAAAGATGGCGCCTTTGATGATGATGAAGCAGATTGGCTCATGGAAACTGAGCTTCCGAACAAGAAACGAAAGACCGGTCCTACTCCGATGGATGTCATTGCTCTATCACACATTGATATCCCTCTCTTGGATGATCCAGAACAAGCGACAATGAAAGTTGCAAAGAGAGTCACAATAGATCTTAATGATCCGAACATTCTTGTCGACGAATTGAGAGCGGATGCCGTCGCAAATAAGCCGAAACACGCCGCTCCTCGCACCAGGGATGAAGTGGACCTGAATCTCACCCGCCGTCTCACCCAGCGATACAACATTTCAAACGATCAAGCATACGACATGCTGAAACAGAATCATCAGAACAAGATCCGCAGTACTCTCGGCAACGTGACACTTGAGCACGGTCTGCCCGCCCTGCGTTTGCAGTGGCCCTACTACAAGACGGAGTTGGCCAAGGCTGAGGCTAGATCTTTCCACCGACCTGCTCTGGCCTTCCGGCCTGGACAAACGTCTTGGTTCAAGAATCCCGTTCAATTAAGACGCAAGCACTTGCGTGGCAAAGACGCGAAAACTGTTTATGATTCTACAAAGTCATTGTCCATGGGAGACAACTCCAATGTCTTGCTGGTGGAGTATTCCGAGGAACTACCCATGACGCTAGCCAACTTTGGAATGTGCAACCGCTTCATCAACTATTACCGGCGAAAGAATATCGATGATCCCACTCGCCCACGGGCAGATATTGGCGAAACAGTTGTTCTCTTACCCCAAGACAAGAGTCCCTACTCAATCTTTGGCCATGTCGACCCGGGCGAAATTTCCCCCCGCAATCTCAAACTCCATGTACCGAGCACCCCTATTCCCGCATCAGCCCAAATCCACAGACTTCCTCGTAGTGCGCAGCACTACTGGATCTGATGGCAGTGCCTATTATTTACGTAACATCGAAAATTTCTATGTCGCCGGACAGCAATTCCCATCGGTTGACATCCCTGGACCGCATTCGCGCAAGGTGACAACTGTGGCCAAGAATCGCATGAAGATGCTGGTATATCGTTTGTTGAAGAAGAGCCCGGATGAACGACTAGCTATCAGCGATGTTACAGCTCACATACCAAACACTACGGATATGCAGAACCGACAGAAGGTCAAGGATTTCCTTCAGCACGACAAAGACACTAAATACTGGAAGCCACTGGATCCAGTTCTCCCTGACCAAGATACAATTCGCTCGTGGGTTCAGCCCGAAGATGTTTGTCTTCTAGAATCTATGCAGATTGGACAGCAGCATCTCCACGATACTGGTTATGGCAACGATGCCGAGACTGGCGGCGAGAACGAAGAAGACGAAGAATTTGAGAGCTTTGAGCAGCAGATGGCTCCCTGGAAGGCAACTCGCAACTTTTTGTTGGCCTCTCAAGGCAAGGCCATGTTGAAGCTTCATGGCGAAGGAGACCCCACCGGCCGTGGCGAGGGCTATAACTTCATCAAAACAAGCATGAAGGGTGGGTTCAAGGCCATCGGTGAAAGTGTGGAGGATAAGCTGGACGCGCAGCGACTTAAGGAGCTTGGAGGTCACAGCTACAATGTTGCCCGTCAGCAAAAATCTTACGAGACATCCATTCGTCGAATCTGGGATGCTCAAAAAAGCAGCTTGTCCTCCACCATCGAGCATTCCGATCAAGAAAGCGACGTGGACCAAGAAGACGAATACCAAGATCAATTCAACAAACCAACGCCCCGATCTGAAGCACCGACACCTGGACCATATCGCCGTGACGATGAGACAACAAGTCAGTTCAGCAAAATGAGTTTCAACAGCCAGCGTGGCAAAGTGTTGCGCATCACCCGCCAGGTCAAGCTAGATAACGGCGAAATCGTGGAACAAGAACAACATGTTTTCGATCCCCGAGTGATCAGACACTACATCCAACACCGTCACCACAACGAAGCCATGCACACAAAACTGGAATCTCTTCAGCCCACGGGCGATCCAGAAGTCGACGCCCGCAACAGGAAGTTGATCGAGGCCGAGCTCGGCCGTCTCAACCGCAACAAAGAGCGTCGTTTTGCCCGCGAGAAGCAAAAGGGTATTCCTCGTTCTGGCGACCCGGACGGCAAGCCTGCTGGTACTCAGCGCAAGTGTGCCAACTGTGGCCAGGTCGGACACATCAAAACAAACAAGAAGCTCTGCCCGCTGCTCAATGGTACTATGAAGCCCGAGGACCGTGTCACGGATTCGGCTTTCTCTATGAGTGCGCCGGTTCTGTGAGCCCAGTTCGCTTTTTGCCACTTATGCACACCTATCTTTTCTAATCATTTCCCTCTTCCTATCCATCTACTCCGAACTTGATACCCCTTAAAAGCTTCTCTGTCATGAATTTGCTCTCCGATACCCTGTTTCTTGCCTACCAGATGTGATTTGAGACCATAAATAGGCACCTTGTCCTTGCTGTGTGTATGAATTTCCGAGCGTTGTTTCCCTTTCTGTTGGGTGTTTCGCTTCATTCATCTTCGATGAAGTATCATAGGAAATAGGATGTATCCAACCTGATGACGATACTTTTTTTGTGCAGAGTAGGCTAACATCTTCTATCCGTAATGATATATTCATTCCTAAGGATACATCAGAGGGTGAGTGGAGCGAACAGTGTAGTTCCAAGGACGGTGAATAGTCACCTATGAGGGAATGAGGCACTATACAAGATGAAAAGAGGGTTATATAGACATGCTTGACCCGGTGAAAGGATGGTAGTGTGTCGCGTAAATGGAAATGTAACAATATCCAACAGGTTTGTTCCAAGTACTAAGGAGGCAACTCCCCAGTCCCCGTGAACGGCTTTGTTCTGTATAGTCACGATGTGTATAGGCCAGCCAATTGGCCTCTGGTATAAGGTTGACGCCCTCGCTCTGTGCTGAAAGCCAAAGCAACATCGTTGGGTCGCCGGTATGTGTACCCCAGAAAAGCGCCCTTTTTGCGAATGTCCAAGACTGTCTTGCTCGTCTGTTTGTCCCGAAGGATTTTGTCGCGGGGCCGTTTCTTCTCCTTTTTCTTTTTGGCATCTTTTGTCTGCTCTTGTGCTGTTGTGCATGGGGTAGCCTCAGCAACTAGCGGCTCAACAGCGTCTTTGGCTGGACTGATTTCTTGATTCTCAGGGGTAATTTGGTCAGGCTCTTGTTCACCATCCTCCGAGCCACTATCAGCAGCATGCTCGACATCATCACCGGCCAACTTCCAGTCGTCAAAATATCTAGTGTCCTCCCAGTTCCTGACTCTGGGGATCATTGGTGGGTGGCACATGTGAAGATCTTGCCATCGGATACCTCGGAAGAACGGATGAATCTTGATGTCTGCTGCATCGTTGGGGTAAACATAGTAGCTCGCGATATTTCTGTACCGCGCGTCCATGGAGTACAGCAGTTGAGTTGAGACGGGACGTCCATTCAGTATATCATTGGCTTGGTACTTCGGAGAACACAGGCGATACTCGCGCTCTTGGAGAATCCTGGTAATAAGATCAATGGCCTCTTGAGAGATTAACTTGTCCGTGGATTTCTCCCGTGGAAATCGCAGAATTCTTGTGTGTTGCTTGAGAGATTTTAGAATGAAATGTTCGCCAGAACACGGGAACAAAGAAGGTACTCACAAGGATCTTGATCTTTGTATCATGACGATTTTCACAGGCAAAGGGCGTGAAACCATATAGACACTAGAAACGCGATGAGAAATTGATACACATATAACGGGAATGTCGAGCAACCTACCTCGTATAGAATGATCCCCAAGCTCCACCAGTCGCATCGTCCGTCATACATTTCACCACGAATGACCTCAGGTGCCATGTATTGACTGGTTCCAACAACACTTTTTGCGAACCTGCGTCTCCCCTTGCTGTTCCTCCAATCCAACAAACTCGTCGAGGATGGCTGATGCACAGTATAGTCATCCAGACTGTGCAATTTTATCTCAGGCGCGAGCTCTTTCGCTTCGGCAACCTCTTTCTGGTCTTCGGAATCACCCTTGACATCAATGCCAAGTTTCTCCAGCAAACAGTAGCGATGGCTGTTATAATACGCTTGATCATGCGACCAATGCCCATTAAAAGCAAGACCGAAGTCGGAAATTTTCAAATGACCCGACGCAGAGATGAGGAAGTTATCAGGCTTGACATCGCGATGAATCCAGCAAAGTCGATGTGCCTCTTCAATGCACAATATCATTTCAGCGATGTAAAATCGTGCCCAGTCCTCGCGGAGTGTATCTTTGCGGATTAGTAACCCCAAAAAGTCACCACCAACCATGTAATCCATCACTAGATATAGATTGTGGGCATCTTGAAAGCTGGCGATCAAAGGAACAACCCATCGGGAGCTCTCAGAGGCGACGAGGAAATCTCTTTCCGCTCGAATATGGCCTTCCTGGGAGTTGCGGATCATTTCTGACTTTTTGATGACTTTCATGGCATATACCTCCTTCTTCTCACCAGTCATATACCTTCGACGGCTTTGTTTGGCACCTTCAACGGCAGACATCAGAGCTCCAAGAGGATTCGATCTGGGGTGGACATTGTTGTCTTTGAGAGCCAATGGGTCATCTTCATGGGAACTCTTCGAATCACTGCCACTCTGTCGAACAAGACGCACAACACCAAAGCTTCCTTTCCCGAGTAACTTTATGGCTTTGTACCCGGCGACAGACATGACGCTTTCGCTTTGAGTGCAGTATCTATTTGATTTGAGCACACGGCACTGTCGCAGATAATCGTTCTCTCTCAAAACCCAGTTGTGCCTTGTCATCAAGCGCTCTTCGGGCGTGAGATCAAACGCATAGATATGATGCTCTAACTCGAGCTGACGTTGCTGACGGGGATCTTTGTTTTGGAAAATGGAGTTGAAGTACAGCTCCAAGTAAACTTTTGCTACTGCTGTTGCTTCCGCGGTTTTGATTGACGGCGTTATCGTAAATAAATCTGTACCTGAAGCGTTGGCAAATTCATTGATCTCAGAGAGAGAGGGCCAATGCACCACTGCAGTTTCGTGTTCATCGTGTAACTTGTCTTTATCCGAGGAAGGAGACGGCCCCCCGGACGTGAGTGGAGTCAGTGAGGTTGACTGTCCACCAGCAGGAGACCTACCACTACTGGGGCTAGTTGATGGGTCTGAGCTGTCATTGGCACCATCATTCTGTCCGCTAAGATCGTCTAGTACTGGAGAACTGGCGTGCAGTACACTCGGTCTCGACCGAAGATGTACATGGCGTATGACAGTGGCCTGGCCAAACGCTAGCGAGATCCTATGCGAGAAGCGATCAACAAATTTTGAAGTTGTTGGACTTGGTTGCTCGGTGACAGTAGTTGGCAGAGGGTCCTCATTGGCGGCATGTTTCTGCACGTCGTTGACAATAGCCAATTCACCCCCCCAACTCACCCTGACTCTCGGGTGACGGTCGGAGGTCGGGAAGGGGCTCAGACAAAGTTTCAATCCCTTCGGTGAGGATGCTGAGTGAAGGAGTGACAGGTATTGGTTCGCTTTGAGGGGACTCGGCTGCAGTCAGATATCCCGGGCTATCATCACCGTTACCACTTGGGGAGGATGAGTTTGAGGGATCCGAGCTTTCGTCGCCGGCCTGTACGGAATCACAGCAATCGGTGTCGGCACTGAACACTTTGTTGCCTGTGACGCAGAATCAGTGGATGTTCAAATCTAGAAAAGAAAAATACCACCACTCACTCTTGGATGAACCGCGCAAGCCCAGCAACAGTAGAATCTTAGAGCCACTGCGAGTTAAACGAACCCTAAGCCGATCCTTTCCAGCCCTTGGGATAATTGGCTCTGATGCCGGACTTTCTGTCGTCCCGGAATCAGTTGGAGATGTGTCTGGCTTTCCAGAGACGACGACTTTAGTTGGGATCCAAAGATTGAAAAGACTTCGTGTTGTATCTTTTTTACTGGAGGCTGTCATCTTTGCCTCTCAGAGTCAACGAGTGATGGGTTAAACATCTGTGAACCTTAACAATATATTGAGTAGATGCATGAAGGGTGAATCATGAAGAATGTAGCTTAGGTGTTTGTAGTGAAGTAACCAGGTTAGGGCTGGCAAGTGCGTAAAAGGGTAAGTGCGGCCGGACTTCCTGTCGGGCCTGATCTCGGTATGTAGGTTCTATATGGTGATTTGGAAGATATCAACATTAATGGGATAAGTATCTAGGCATTACTGTCTATCTATTGCCTGGTTCACACTCTTTTTCGACAGTAGAACGGTCCATTTTATTTTATTTTGAAAAGCATCTCGGTTGACAGGGGATGTATTCTCATTCAAACCCAGCCCACCCTCGTGACGAGCTGTACATGACCAATACTATCTCCGAAGATCTGAGCTGCAAAGACGCCTCACAAGAGCAACCGGTTCCTGCTTCGCTGGGAGGGAGGGCTCCTCCCCCTCTTGACGGCACATCTTACATTCCGAATTCCGCGATGACAGAGACTCGTGCTACATGTTGAAGTAACCTAGTACACGGATTCATCGTCGCCCTCTTGTGGGGTTCGTTATAACCTAGAAAACAGTTCGAGCTCGCTGAGCCGGAAATAGACCACGCATGATTTCATTTATCATGTCGGTCCCCGGGGGGAAATCGTGCTCGAAGATGGGCTCCCCAGCCCTGGAGTCCCCTTCATATTGGTAAGCACACACTGGTGGAAGTGCCACCGAAGCAATTAATCTGCGACACGGTCGGGATTGTTTGGATCTCGGCACACGATATCTAGTATTCGGCCGTCCGCATTCCAGTTGTTGGCACTAAAATCAGCAATCTTATATCCATGAGGTCCTAAATATAGATTAGTAAACGATTTATCCCTCACCTAAGGTATAGTAATTTACTTACTTCTGGATTGACCAATATTTGGAAGTTATCGAATAGCTGATGCATACTTGCAGCGAGTAATAGCCCGTTCTGCACCGAGTTCACTGCCTCCACCTCCAGCCACACATTCGTTAACATATCGAAAAAATTGGCATTTGTGATGGATCCATTTTGGCGGACTCCGCCGAGATGAAACCCCGTAGAACCGTTATAAAAGTTCAAATTTCGATGAGACATGTTGCCTACGTAGTGGAGACAATGTGATGGGGGTAAAAGGGTTTGTGTTGAGCCACGTGATACTACATCAATATCTGTTCAAGCCCAATGAAAGATTTGACGTATCATCACCTCAAAGATATGATTGAAGGGCCTGCAAGATTCGATGACTACTTGGAGGACATTCTCCGCGGGGGTCTCATGCAGGTTTGAGTGCCACTGAATCAAGATTTATGACTGGATAGCGTGTTGAGGGAAGAATGGCTAGAATGTGAAACCGTAGCGGGATATTTGCAATTGAATGCGATTTGGCTTTGTGACTCGTAATCTACATGCATCCTATGCTTAAAAGTTAAACGTAGAAGGGTCATTAGGGAGATTAGACAAAGCCTAGAACAAAGCGTTAACACAAGGTGTGCATAAGCGAGCGGCATTATGTACTCGTAACTCGCCAAGAAAAACATAAAACATACCCATGAGTCAAGTTGAGCCCACCAGATCGATCCCTCGAGACTCTCAAGAAAGCCTGCATCGTCTCCCGTATTCATCCCCAAGTCAGCTGGGGGCATCATAAAATCAGCCGCCTGGGTGTCATAGAGAACCGATTTCACATTCGTATTCTGTGAAGTCTCTCCCGAGGCATAGAAATTATCATTTCCATTAGATGAATGGGTCCGAGTCTCAACAGAGACCCCATTGGACCCAATCTGCCGATGAACCTCCTGTCTCAGCTCCTCCAGAATAATCCCGTAGCGGCGACTCGGGCAGTTCTTACGCGTGGCTTCAGCGAGGTGTTGCTGACAAGACTCGGCGAGAGAAAAGAGCTGGCGCAATTTATCTCGGTCATTGGGGCTTCCGATAGAAGAGACTGAGACTGAGCTAGATCCGCCCAATGACTTACGGTGCTGTTGGATGGTATGGATGTAGATGACCAAAACAGCACAGAAGCACACATAGTGCGTGAACCAGAAAGACTGGATTAGCACGCCTTGATGCGCGAGACCATCGGTTATTGTCATGATGTCCTCGGCAGCCTGGATGCATTTCTGGACGTGCGAGCTGACCATCGGGTGCGGGACTTTCGGTCTGCGGCTGAGATCTGTGAAATCGTTTAAAAGGAATGAGCGGGTGACGTGGATCATGGCGTGGGAGTAGGCGAGTTGGAGGACTTGGCTTTGGCGGCAGAGGGGTGGGATTAAACTGGTTGGGTGAACACTGTTAAACAAGGGCGGGACAGTTTCTTTCCATTTTTCCAGTTCGGAGGTTAGGCGGATTGCGGCCTCGAGGGGGAATCTCGAGAGAGCGTGTTTATGCTATATAGTTGACGGGATATATCGCCTAGGATACGACCGAGTCTAGGTTCTATGTTAGGTGCCCAGATATACTATATAAGCATAAGTACAGGGTGGGTACAGAGACTCACCGGTAATGAAGAACAGAGGCAATCATCATGCTGTCTGTTGATCCTGTTCTTCGCGTTGGATCTTCTTCCAGTAAATCCTCATCATTCGTCTCTTCCGGTAGTTGTTGGTCGATGTCCTCGTCGTGAAGCAGTCGAGGTCTTCCAAACATAATGCTTAAATATTTGTCTAGAGTGTATACACTCCAGAAGATGCGCCTGCGGAGCTCCGAGTCTAGATGCGAGCATCCGTTATTCGAGGCTTTGGCTGGTCCCTTCCGGTGTAACCCGAGTGCAGTCACAATCTGCACTGTCGTGCCGAATGAGTACCAGCATTCGTTGGCCCGTGATGATGACAGCAGATATAGGCATTGGCCTAGCCGGGCCTGGATGGTCTCTAGTCGCGGCGGCCCTGATTCGAGAGAAGACATGTATTTCGATGCTGCGTACCAGCGCTCACTATAATATCTCAGTTAGGCTCTTTTTCTAACCATATCGAGAGATTACTAACCTTTCTAGCCTTTCACCCCGCCCACCAGGCATTCCCCCAGGCTTCATTTCCACATACAAAGTACTCACGGCAATGATCATGAGAACAATGGCAGTGCGAGCAACCATATTTCCTACCGGGAGATTCGAGAGGCCGATGTTATTTTGGTAAACCTGTCTAGTCCACTCTTCCACATTGCCCCTGTGCACAAACCGATAAGTCACCATAGAGTAATCGAAGTAAATTCCCACCAGCTCCAGCGCCTTCTCCAGAGACGGGAGGGTAAACTCCGCCTCCTGGGGATTGGAGTAAGGCTTATCACCAAACATAAAAACGGCTGTGTTCCGCGAGGACTCATTCTGGAGTTCATCCGGATAGTGCGTCGTTTCATCTTGATGCAGACGGCTCCATACACGATTGATAAACGATACACCGGATGAAGGACCGAGGTAATTACCCTCAAAGTCCGTTGATCCTGGCTCTGGTGAATTCCGCGATGATATCACATGCTGGTGTTGGTTTTTGTTTTTGTTTGGGGCTGAAAGTAGATTGTCGTTCACAGTCGAGTCCCGACCATTGCCTTGTAAATTTGGGCTGGACGTGAGCCCATCCACATCCTCAAATGCACGACGCCCAGTTGGAGTCGAAAGCGGACTCGGGGATGCAGGAAGAGGGTCTGGTGGTAGGCCCCGAGAGTAAGCGGCATTGTATCTGCATGGTAGCGACAGTCGTGTACATCTTGTGCATGGTAGAGTACCAGTACAACGGGTTTTCTTTACTTTGCACGAGTCACAGGCTCTGGTGATTTTCTGGCGGTGTGCAACACCGTCTTTTAATGTGTCGGAGGCTTTCCTCTTATTAGACGTGGGTTCTGTTGTGGTTTCATTTAATTTGATCGCGGGCCGAGGAGATTGCATGGCAACGCTAGTAGCTGTCATAACGAGATCGGCAAGACAAGCCGAGCCAGGGAATTAATTCCCGAGTAATATCGAAAGGAGATGACCTTGAGAGAGGAGAAGTATCCGGGGAAGAGGGGGAAATGGAAAAGCACAGGATCTCGGCAAGTCTCCGGTCGGCGCGGGGATGCCTCCACCTCCCCGGATTCTTACCGGGGAGGTACACTGTGTACACTGTATATTGGAAGTATATATATGAGTTAATCTACACTGCAGTTATCAAGGAAGATCAAGGAAAATCATCTTCCTATAGTCGGGCCTTCACCGGATAAAGGGCTGTTTACTGAAGTGAACGAGATCGCCCATTTGCTCTCTGTAGCTACAAGTCGAAAGAAACCGCAAAATTACCCTAGGTCTGTATATCATGTTGACTTATTGGAGAAGCACAACTGACACTGACATCATGTCCATGGGATTGATAGGAGCAGAAGAAGAATATGCTCAACAATATGATAGTGTGACCGGCCGCCCATATACCCCCGCGGGTGTGCTTATAGGAATCCAATATCATCCTGAAATGACATTCGCCGACACTAACAGAGAGGAGCCTCAATCTGCACGAGAGGACAAGCGATGCGCATTATGGACCGAAGGAGCATGTAGTATGATTTCAGTGATCGAGAGGAAGTTGAGATGAAGTTAGGTCATATCTCCAAAGAAGAAATGTGGATAAAGGCCCTGCGCTAGGAAGGATTTCATTGCACGATGGTTGCTGTTGGAAGAATATCTGCCAAGAGCTCTATTTTGTGATGCCAAAGTTCAATATATATAAAAAAAAGAAAACAGATCCCACTTGCTCCGACCACAAACACCGGTGTAACTCCAACCCGAGAAACAAAGTCCGAATGTGACAGGCTAGAACGGGGTATCTCTGGGTATCACTTCTGTCAAGGTACGGACTCTCCGCAATATTGCAAGATTCTAAAGCCCCTAGTTCCGGGATGGCAAAGAATATTTGCAACAAAAAAAAAAAGGAAATATAATGCTAGGGCTCGGGTAAGAGAATAGGAACAGTCTGGTTTCTTGCGAGATCTCAATCTGTCTCGAGATATGGCAATAAACATGAAGATGGAGCTGGCCACACAGCTAGAATGAGGAATAATGTGACGGTGCTCTGAATGACCTGCTCCATCTCAAAGAGAAACGCGACAAGAATAACAGCTATAAAGGAAACGCTATGAAACAACCAGGTTCGTCTGGTCGTTGGAGGATGTGAGATCGAAAAGATTTGGCGGGGGATTCGGAGGAGACGGGGGGTAACCGCTGGCATGTATTCGTCCAGAGATGCGTAAATTCCCGAAGAGAGATTGGGTTAATTCAGCGAGGAGGATTGAAGTAATTGCCCATTTGATTGTCGGGTGTAATGGTCAGGTTCAGGTTCACATCTGAGTTGCGCACGCCTGAATTTCGGGAGCTGGATTGGTTCTCGTCTTCCAAGATACTGTTGAGAAGATCTCGAATCTGCCCAGGGGTTGCACCCGATCGTATGGTACTGACGATTAATTGGACCGTCGTGCCGTCACCATCTCGGATGAGTCCGATGAGATCGTCCACAAATGACCGGAAATGGTCCAATTGGTCCTGGACTCTCTTAGCGGAGGCCTTACGGCGTCTGTCGGCGGCTTCATCGAAGATACATTCGCGGGCGTGGGTTGAACATTCGGTGCAATGAGGAGGGCCGGTACACTAACAAAATAATAAAAGGAGCATGTCAGATTGATTGAAGTACAAGATTAGGTGAAATAAAGGGGAAGTGCAGTAGATATGTACCCTGGTCCGGCGTTTTTGACACTCTGTACACGCTGTCGATGCTCGCCTCATTCGTTTTTCCTCTGGTGCACTTCCGCCAGCAGGACTACCTGCTCCCTCTCCCCCATCTCCGCCTCCTCCGAGTAGCCTGGTGCGAGGTGCAAGAGGCCTATAGCCTCGGGGTGCCTGTTCACTCATCAAGTCTGCGCACCAAAAAACAAAATGATGAATAACAAATCAGAAAGCCTAACTCTCTGTTTTCCCAACCACCATTTGAAAGCATGATAATCAAGCAAATCACATGGGAGACGGGAAGGTCATAGAGAAAGTTATAGAATGGAGAAAGAGAGGAGGGGCCCTGGGGCCGCGCTAGACCTATGTGAATTCTGCACTGTGCGCTGCCTAGATTAGAAGGGTATGAGGGCAAAGTGGGGGGAAGGGGAGATAATAAGCAAAAAGACGAAAATAATTAGAAAATCCGAAAATAACAGGTAAATAACGGGTAAAGAAATTGAAGAGGGGAAAATAGAAAAAAAAAATAATAGTCAAAAAGAAAAAAAACAGGGAAAAGTAAGAGAGAGAGAGTTGAGGGATCGAGAAGTGAGTGGCGGATGTGGGCCTGGCATGTCCAGAAAATAAGCAAAGGATCGAACTATTGGAGAGGCTCCAGAAATAATACTTGATTTAACATATCATTTATAACGTACATACTCCGTGCATACTTCGTACGGAGTACATATAACCCTATACACCTATGTTTAAATGCCACTCTGTTAAATGGTTGAAATGAGGGTACAATAGTAGCACTTACCGAAGTTAATAGCCACCAAGTACGACGGAATAGAAAATAATGTAGTTCCTATATTAATATTGTCTATATTATACAATTTATACAACTGATATACTTTATATACTTTTTCTGTATTGTCATAGCTTGACATACCCGTCTACCTAGGTAATCCTATCTATAACCCTAATTCATCGACTTCGGAGTTATTTTCCGGGGTAAATGATAGGCTCAACCAAGTTCAAAACATGAAATCATCATCTTACCTAGGTACCTACCACCTGATCGCGTATATCATTTGAATTGAATATCATTGGTTAATCTGAAATCACTTTTGTTTCTAAACTTTTTTTGTCCTACCTAGCTTCCCCTTTCTGTGTCAATTGGGGGGGGAACGGGTCTATGTGCTTCGGCCGATCCCTGACATTCTCGGTTCACTTTGTCGATCAGGAGATCTAGAGTGTAATGAGATAATGAGACTTTTCCCCCTTCTATTTCTCTAAAGAATCTCATTCCATACTTTCATAGCCTTATGTGTAAGGCTCCGGGAGATGACTCCGGTTTCCCCTACAACATACATGCTCAGATATCCTGTCTCTATACCTCCCCCTTGAAATATTATAGAAACCCCACCTAACATTTTCCTGTGGAAGTTGTGCAGTGGACGTGCAAAAACCCCACCAGACAAGTTGTCAAATCCCCACTATGGCAGTTTTGCCACACAAGTGAACCAAGGGCACGCGAGTCGCTAAACCAGCCATCATGTCACTCTCGGCATATTAACTCAAAACTATAATATCTGACATTCCAACCTCCCTGACATACCGTTCTAGGGTCAACTCTCGACTAGTCCGTCAATTAACGAGAAGTGAGGAAACCATCTAATCAACCCTCAGTACGAAGTAGCTCAATATTGGCCGGAAAATTCATCCATCCTCAAGTGTCGAATAACATCCATCGAGCTAACGAGAGGACACCATGCACAACATATGTATGGGTACTCATAAAAGGGGCTCTAACTTCTGGGTTCTCGGTTGCTCTTAGGGCTTGCTCTACCACGGGTTGTTCGCAGCCATCGAACAGATTCTTGAAATGTGCCCCTTGATTCCCATGGATTAACCCTGTCCCGTGGACGAAGTATATGCACCCTTCGGTCCTGTCTTCCTATCTGGGTGGCTGACGATTCTGTGCATGGAATATCCTTCAAAGTTCTGACTATGGAGTACCTACATCCCATGGATACGATTTCAACCGATTTCAACCGACATTATTTGTGGATATACCAAGACGAAGTGGGACGAGGCACAATACCAATACGGACCAGGATCCGGCCAAAATACGACAGACTTTATAATTTTGACAGGTGGGCCACAATCCAGCAATCTGACTGGTGCCGGCGAAGAGTTCCATGGTCCCTTTTGAGAAGGGGCAATCTCCATATCCTCATCTTGTTCCTGACTTCATCGTCACGGTTTCACTATGCACGACATGGTCTTTAACTCTTTAACATTTATTTACTCCTTTTTTTTATTAAACAAAAAAAAAAAAAAAAAAACAACACGAAGAGAACTACTAAGTACTCACCGCAGATTTAGACGTGGCTCTGAACATCAACGATTCACCGGGAGAATACTTCCGTACCATACTCCGTACATGATTTGTTTCTCCTTGCCGAGAAAACCTTGAAAGCTACCAAGAAGAAGAAGGTATTTGCAACTATCTCTTTTATTGGCCAATTCAACCATGGCTCATATATCGAGCGAAGGGTCTGCATCGGTGTCTGCAGAGAGGTGAAGAACCGTTCCAACCGTGATCCCTCCGCTGGTCATCCAACCTCGTCTGAAATATACTAGACTCGGGGCCTTATTCGACATAAGCAAGTCGAAGTACACCATATCTGCAATCTCTGCAATCTCTGCAATCTCTGCAATCTTACCCTATATCAATACTCCGTACATACCACACATTCTCCATCTTCCATTTACAAATATCTCCACTATCCCAATCCCCGTGCTTCTACCACGCACAGTTCTTGTGCCCGTTCACCGATCTTCGGCGCCACAACGCTACGTGGCCCCTATCCCGTTCAACCCCCAACCATTCAGGTATAGTCCTGCCTGCTCCGTGGGAGTACCCACGGCGATGCAAGGAAGAAAGCTTCCTGTGCTGCCCTACAGCAAGCATTGATCCGCACTATACTCCCTACTTACAAGATCGTTACTTGTTGCCTTAACTGTATCTCGGCACTAAGGATAGCGGGGCCGGAGATGAAAAACGCAATCTCGTGAAAAAAAAAAGCCAAAAAAAAAGAAAATCCAAGACCATACGGAGCACTGGATACGGCGTACGGATACTGACCGTATGTATCCACCCAATTGCCCCCCTCAGCGCTCCTTGATAGGATGTCTACCTCCGATGACCCTCAAGAAGCGGTCAGAATTGGATTCGCCACAAGAGTCCTCTTATTTAGGGCTATCCTACCTTCCCAATGTAGGTCCTTTCGCGCCAGGCACAGCCGTATGTACTCCGTACACCAAAGCACACAAACGCAGTCCCGCTCCCGAGGAAACCTTTTCCCCCGAGCAAAGATAGGAGCTGGTTGGCTGACTGTGCAAGACGGAATTCCTTCTACGACTTTCACCGTGGCATCTGATAATATGCATGTACCACTTAACTCCCCTCTTTCTGATTGGTCATTGCTACTTTGGACTACGAATCGCGCATCTGTAGATAGATCCTTTGAACCACTATGGTGGTAGATAGACACTAATAAGCAAGTAAGATGCCAACTTCTTTGTTGTATGGAGTACTCCGTATCGAGTACGGAGTAGATCGTTTCCTAATGTTATTCCAAATCATGGTACCTTTGATATATGTGACTCGCGCGCGGCTTACATTAGCTTACAGTAGCTTCCAAGGTTGCAAGAACACTTCTTGCATCCCCCCTCCCCCCCGGTTTAATTGGATACTCATGTCAAACCGTCTTAAAACCCCGCCTTGATGACGTTACTAGGTACTAATGCCATCTGGATAACCAACACTTCTTATAGAACTAAACGCAAAAATGAAAGCAAAAGAAACATTCTTAAAACAGCCCCAACATAAACCCAATATATCCCCCTCGCCCAGTCTGCATCTGACCCGTTGATGCAAACAAATGCACACGGGTACTAGGGATCCGAATCTGACAGGGATATTGATTATGGATCATCTCGATACGTTGGGCATCAAGAGCGGGAGCGGGAGCGAGAGCCTTTTTAGCGAGATGCAGATTGACTTCGAACCTGCAGGCGGGCTGTAGAGTGAGTGCTTGGCTAAATGGGATGTTTAAATGAATGTTAATTTATTTTATTCTTATCTGAATAGAGTGGCTTCTAGACTCTTCGCACTAGTCATATAGTAGAACCAGCTTACCAATGCCGTTTGTCCACATGGCTGTTAACCGAGAGACATATGCACATAAGCACTATGGGGGTGTGATAGTGTGGGTCTTGATCTTCACGGTTGGGCTGGTATTGCCTGGGTCATCAAGTTGATACACGATACTCCGTACTAGGTCTTTGTGATACGGAGTACGGAGTATATTCCCCTGGTTTATGCGTGTTCACCTGCAGGAGAACCCCTCTGGTTCCATCGATGTGATATCACTGCTCTAGATAGATGTACCCGATAGGGTTTGTTGCATACGTGCTATTTTACTCTGCAGGGCCTCGAGTTCGGCTTGCCATTGGCACAGGTGAAATCCAAAAATGATTGCAGGACTACACTGTCTTATATAATGTGCGTAAACAGCACACGGACGAAGATTGGTTTTGAGAAAAATAAAGTGGATTAAATTGAGCAATGGAATTCGTATGGACAGGAAATTATATGTACTGATGAAGTAGGCGAAGGAAACAGGGAATAAACTGAGTAAAAAAGACAAGGAAACCCGGGAAACAAGAGCCATATCTCATACATCAGGAAAGAAAAGCGGGTGGGATATCAAAAAGAATACAGTCACAGCTGAGCTGGGTGCATAGATACCAAAGGTATTCCCTAGACAGCGGGACGAGAATCAATAGATCGGACGGCCCTCGTCCCAGCGGCGAGATTCCCTCGGACTAGAAATAGGCTCGGGTTGACCTTCACCCGCAGGGGTGTGAGGGCTTGATACAATGTTACCGGACGGGGAAGGGATAGAGAATCGTGCACTCTCACGGCGGCCAATATGTTCCGGCTCACCGACAGCGTTGATCCCACCGATCCACTCCCAGACCCGAGAAACATCACCGCTACGTCCTTCTCGCACGGAAGCGCGGACGTTAGCGTTGCCCTCGACAAAGCTGCGGACCCGTCGCCAGAGCTCCTCGCGACGCTTGCCCTGAAGTTCAAAGCGAAGGACATCGTCGCGGAGCTGACCGATGGCAATATAAGGTTCTTTAGCATCGCCGCGGGCATATAGTGCAGCCTGCGTAGATAGTCGGTCAAGGGTTGTAGCTACTAATTCAGGCACGCGAGCAATGTCAGACCGACGTGCGAGTACACGCGCACGAGCGTACACAAGGAGACCAATGGCCATAATTAGAAGTGAAATAGGGAGTCGATACGCGAGGAGAGCGAGTCGGAAGTGGCGGCGGACGGCGCACGCGAGTGGGAGCCGTGCAATGGAGGTAGATGAGAGGACGAGGATGTCGGAATTTCTGTGATTGCGAACGCGTCTCTGTCAGTTCCGGTACCCAATGTCAGACCAGATCCTTATAAGAAATGCCGCTGGATGTTGGAGTCCAGAGCGATGAGCGTAGCCAAGGAGACACAATTACTCCTCCCAGGATGGGGGAAACTTACTGCTTGGTTTTGCTGATAACTTCATCTTTGCCGAGGATATCGCCAATGGCACCCTTCCACAGCTCATCAAATTCGGTGTCACTCAAGCCCTTGCGGCGTTTCTTGGCCACCTCTTCCCTCAACTCCGGCTCGCTGATGTCCGGAGATCTGGCGCCCTTGCCGTCCTCCTTCAGCTGACCACATTCCCACTTTGCCCGGCGCTCACGAAGCTCCTCGACAGCTTTATCAGCAACAGCCTTCACCCGGCGCTCCTTTTCACTGTCGGGTTCACATGTTGGTGGCAATGGCACCAGGCCACCGAGGGAAAGAGGATGCGGCTTCAGAAGGAAATCATTTTCGCAACGCACTTCAAAATCCGGATAGCAGAAGGCGTGGCTTGGGCATGGCTCGCACCGAGGCTCTAGGACATTCGCCCATTCAGGAACCTTAGTCTCTGCCAAAGACCAGGTGGGCTTTCCCAGGCCGCAATATCCGATCTCGAGCTTTTCTTTGCGCCACCAGGCACCAAAACCGCCGGCCAGTGAAAGGATGACCACCCAAGGGGCCAAGCGGCTGAGGGTTCCTTGCTTTTGGGGCCGTCGCCTAGGCTGAATTTGTCGCGAGTAATGATCATTCTCCATAGACATAGCGAGCTGTTCCTCAGGCGTGAATTCTTCGCCCGCCTCAATTTCGCTTTCTTCGTCATCATCGGATTCTTCTGATTCCTCCTCGGGCTCCTCCTGAGGAGGCATCAACCGGGAGGCAAAATCAAACGAATCCCGCTTAGGTGGCTGGAACCCGTCATCGTGATGAATGCTAGATGGGGTTGCTGATTTCCGTGACCTGAGTCCGCGGCCTCGAGCTGGACTGTCGGTGGATAAGCGCGAAACGCTCTTCCGCTTGCCATCAAAGCTCATCCTTGCGCTTTTAGGAGCCTCGGGGCTTCCACTCTGGAAAGGATTGTCATCCGTAAATATGCTCTGATCGCGTAATTCTAACTTGACACCAGTAGGAGTGTATTCATCCACTTCTGTCGAGGGGAGGACCTCACTCCGTCCGACTTTCCTAGCTGTAGATTTGCGAGGAGTAGGACGGGAAGCCGCGACTGGAGTAGCCAGAATGTCGTCGCCGGTTTCCGTGTCAGATGTGCGGGCGTGTTTACCCACTGAGCGAGCAACGCTCGAGCGCTTTGTGTTCCTGATAGGCGTGGCAGGGCCGAGACCATCATCGGTATCTACCGTTGAGTGACGGGTGCTTCGTCGCGACGTACCTCGCTCGCCTCTTCTTGTGGATCCGACTGTTGAGGGCGTGGGCGGAGGAGGCATCGACTCTCTGTCGTTCGTGTCGCTCGCTACTGATGTCGACCGACTGCTCATGTCTGTAATTCCCATGCTAGTTCGTCGGACCGTGTCGCGGTCGCGCAAGAGCTTTCTGGCTTGCGGAAGGACTTCATCTTCAAGGATACCGATCAGTTGAGCCTTCTTTGCCGAGGCAGGGTATGGAATATCGTGGCTGACGAGGATTGAGCGCAGACGAGGGACAGTGAGAGAGTTCAGATCGAAATCTGGATGGAGGTATTCCAGTTCATCGGCCATTTTGCGTTGCGTGCAATGTGCGATATCGTGGCCTAATTAATGTGCGAACACCCCGACCGACCGAGATTGGTAGTCTAGAGGAATTTTTGTTCAGATGGACACCGAACTTGTAGCACGGTGCGCGGCTAGACAAGATTGCAATATGCCAGTGAAATGCCACCGATCGCTCCCTTTTTCGAATTTTAACTGGGGTAGGAGAAGTGTTATTTTTTTTTGTCGAGCTGTTAATTACGCCAGAGCTGGGTCGATCATTCGTTCAGTTCGTAGCCAGGGCAACAGGCGGGGCGCGAAAAACGGCCGATGTTGAGACTAACGATTTGAACGATGTAAATTTAGGTAAGAGAGCCCAAGAAACAGATGTCTCTCAGTTTATTTTCCTGGCTTGGATTCGGTTTACTAGATGAAGGGGTGTGAGCAGACCAAGAAAGAACAAATCAAGGACGATGACGCACGAATAAACAATGACACGTGATCTGACAAATCTGAGGTTGGTGCCTCAGGCCAGTAACTGTGATTATCCCAGTATTTGCCATCAAAGACAAAAAACAACCTACATACCTTGGGGACAAGGACTGAAGAC